TTTTCACAGCTATTTATAAGGCCTCCCCAGATGACCATTTTGCCTTTTTGCATTTCTTTTTCTTGAAGATGATTTTGATCACCACCTCCTGTACAATGTTTCAAACCTCCACTGATAGTTCTTCAAGCACCCTGTCATTCAGATCTAATCCCTTGAATCTGTATGTCGCTTTCACTGTAAGGGATTTGACGTAGTTCAACTCAAAACGTCTTAGACACAGTAAATTCTAAAGAAGTGATAGCTGTTGTCACTGTATAATTGTAAAGGATTTTATTTAGGTCATACCTGAATGGTCTAGTGGTTTTCCCTGCTTTCTTCAATTTAAGTCTGAATTTGGCAATAAGGAGTGCATGATCTGAGCCACAGTCAGCTCCCAGTCTTGTTTTTGCTGACTGTATAGAGCTTCTCCATCTTTGGCTGCAAAAAATATAATCAATCTGATTTTGGTATTGACCATGTGGTGATGTCCATGTGTAGAGTCTTCTGTTGTGTTGTTGGAAGAGGGTGTTTGCTATGGCCAGTGCATTCTCTTGGCAAAACTCTATTATTGCATGTTATTTGCTCTTAATAGTGAATCTGCATGTAGCTTATGAGTTTTACATCTCTGCCCATTGAAGTGACTGAGAAGGAGCTGGAAGTGTTGTATTGTCCTTATGTAGGAAGGAAAAAACACCGAGTTTGTTGGAAGAATCAAGGGGAAAGCAGTTCTGTACATGCAAGTGAATCATAGCCTTATCTGTGTCAGCACTGACTGATATACTCTTCTACGCCCCACTGTTTCACTCCTCTCCCTTTCAGCTTTTTTTGTTTTTTTTTTTTTGCAAGTCGTCACAGAGTTCATCTGGGGCCAGATTTTAATTTTGGTATGTTGTGGATGATTCTGAAATCTGTTTGTATTTTTGCTTCTTACTGTAGATCTATGCATATATCTTTAAGAACATCAAGTCTGTGCGACTGGAAGCACTGCTCTTATCCTTGCTAAGCATCGTGGTGCTTGTACTGGTTAAAGAGCTGAATGAACAATTTAAGAGGAAAATTAGAATTGTCCTTCCTGTTGATTTAGTTTTGGTAAGTACAAAATGAACGTTTAACTTTCTTCCCTGCAACGCTTGCAACTTCTGTGGGTAACATGCAAAGGCTCACCTTATTGTCTATAGCAACCCACAATTAGTCCTGTCTCTCATTAAAGCAGGACTAATTTGGCTGTACATTCATGTATAGAGAGGAAATATTTTGAGTCAATAATTTAAAAAAGGAGGCACACGTGTTTCTAATTTTTGCAGAATTTCTCATATGCTTGTATGTTTTTGGATAAATAAGACAACAGGTATCCTAAAATTTTAAATATGGAGACATTTCTGAGGATGAGACTCAAAAGGTCTCTGGCATGATTCTCCATAAAGCAATAAAAAGTGATAACTCATCTTTTTGATATGGCATCTATATGCTGCATAGAAATATTATCAATCAACAAATGTCCACTAATGGTTGATAGATTTATTATATTTACTGACCTAATTTTGCTTTATTGAAAGGATATTCTTAACATTTTCAGTGGCCAAGGCTTATTCTCTAAGATATTTTTGTTGTTGTAGTTGGCAAAGCAACAAATTGTACTTTGCTCCTAAGCCTTATGAAGTTCAAAAATACATTTTGAAATTTTAAGAGCCTCTAATGGGAACTCTTTTTAAAACAATTATATTTATTTGTTTGTACTTGATTGATGATTGCTGTACAATATGGGTTTGGTTTCTGCTGTAGATCAACATTAATCAGCCATAGGTATACACATGTCCCCTCCTCTCTCTTAAAACTCCCTCCCACTTCCCACTCCTTCCCACCCCTCTAGGTTGTTACACAGCCCTGGTTTTAGTTTCTAATGGGAACTCTTAGCTAAACAAAGCATTAGATTGAAAATGAAATGTTAAGCAAACCAGTCTTCTAAATTACTTATTATTAATTGGCCTTAGGTTTTTTTTTAATTATTGGTGATAAGTGGTGTCTAAATAATTTCACCTATTGAAATGTCACTTCATACAAATAAAATGATGTAGGTTTTCTGTATATGTATATAAGGCTAGCATATTGGCAACTGTCTCTGAGGGATATGACTTCTTTCTGCATAACTGGCATGTATTGCCTCTTTGAATAGTTCAGTTCGGTTGCTCAGTTGTGTCTGACTCTGTGACCTCATGGACTGCAGCACGTCAGGCCTCCCTGTCCATCACCAGTTCCCGGGGTTTACTCAAACTCATGTCCATCGAGTCAGTGATGCCATCCAACCATTTCATCCTCTGTTGTCCCCTTCTCCTCCTGCCTTCAATATTTCCCAGCATCAGGGTCTTTTCAATTGAGTCAGCTCTTCACATCAGGTGGCCAAAATATTGGAGTTTCAGCTTCAGCATCAGGACTGAACACCCAGGACTGATTTCCTTTAGGATCACTTCTCAGCATTTTGGCTAAGATCAAGTGTAGTTAATACCTTAAACCTCACTTTTATCCTCATGGCTCTGATTTGAACAACGTGAGGCACTGGTATATATGTGTAAAGTCTCAAAAACGGGAGATTTCTTCTTACTACATGAAGGGCTGATATAAGCATAGGGTGATAATGATAATTCCCAACATTTTGGGAAAAGTTTCACAGATTTAATCTAGAGGTTCTCAACCTTGACTGCGCATTAGAATCACCAGGGAGATTTACTGATTACTGATGCATGGGTCCCACCTCCTGATTTAATTGGTCTAGAGTGTGGCCTGAGCAGCATTTAAAAACCCTTCCCGGGTAATTCTATTGTGTGGCCATTGTTGAGAGGCACTGAACTAACCTTACTTGAAACCTTGACTAATAGGTGAGGCAGATAAGATAATCCTCTTCTTTTCTCTCTCTCACTTTCCATCTCTCTCTCTGTTTTCATCTCTCTCTCTTTCTCTCTGCCTCTTTCTTTTCCTTCCTTTCTTCCTTTCTTTGGGTTGGGAAGATCCCCTAGAAAAAGGAAAGNGACCTCACATTCCAGGATGTCTGGCTCTTGGTGAGTGATCACACCATCATGGTTATCTGGGTCATAAAGATCTTTTTTGCATAGTTCTTCTGTGTATCCTTGCCACATCTTCTTAATATCTTCTGCTTCTGTTAGGTCCATATCATTTCTGTGATATGATTTCTGTGATATCATTTCTTTATTGTGCCCATCTTTGCATGAAATATTCCCTTGGTATGTCTCATTTTCTTGAAGAGATCTTTAGTCTTTCCCATTCTATTATTTTCCTCTTATTTCTTTACATTGGTCACTGAGGAAAGCTTTCTTATCTCTCCTTGCTATTCTTTGCAACTCTGCATTCAAATGGGTTTATCTTTCCTTTTCTCCTTTGCCTTCAGCTTCTCTTCTTTTCTCAGATATTTGTAAGGTCTTCTTAGACAATCATTTTGCCTTTTTGCATTTTGTTTTCTTGGGGATGGTCTGATCACTGCCTCTTGTACAACGTCATCAACCTCCATCCATAGTTCTTCAGACACTTTGTCTATCAGATCTAATCCCTTGAATCTATTTGTCACTTCCACTGTATAATTGTAAGGGATTTGATTTAGGTCATAATTGAATGGTCTAGTGGTTTTCCCTACTTTCTTCATTTTAAGTCTGAATTTGGCAATAAGGAGTGCATGATCTGAGCCACAGTCTTTTTTGTGGCTTGAGCTCCTGGTCTTGTTTTTGCTGACTGTATAGAGCTTCTCCATCTTTGGCTGCAAAAAATATAATCAATCTGATTTTGGTATTGACCATGTGGTGATGTCCATGTGTAGAGTCTTCTGTTGTGTTGTTGGAAGAGGGTGTTTGCTAGTTAGGCTTAATATGTGGAGATACATATAACTGACTTGATGGACATGAGTTTGAGTAAGCTCTGGGAGTTGGTGGTGGACTGGGAAGCCTGGCATGCTGCAGTCCATGGAGTCACAAAGAGTCGGACATGACTGAGTGACTGAACTCACTGATGTATAACATATGTGACCTATATAATATGTGTGTTTGTATGTGTGTGTATTTAAGATAAGCCATACAAGTGGAGGATACTATGATTATTAATAGTTTTTTAAAAAACCAACTGTGAAACATATTTTTTTCCAAAGTCCTATAGATATTAAAGAATCCTTATTATATGTTGGGAATCTTGGTTATATGTTTCATGAGACCAGACATTGAAAGTTACCTTGGGGAAGTAGGCCCTTGAATTGGTTTTATTCAATATTGAATAAAATAGTTGCCTATTTTTTTTTTTTACAGAAATAGTAAAAATTATCCTTACAAAAGTAAAGGGTGGAGAATCCCATGGACAGAGCAGCCTGGTGGGCTACAGTCCATGGGGTCGCAGGGAGTTGGACCCGACTGTGTGACTTCACTTCATTTCACGTCACTCCTTATGCAGTGTTGACCCTACTGTTGTAAGACCTAAAGCAAAAATAGTAATATAGGCCCAAATACTTGAGTTATAGATCAGAATGTAAATAAAACGGGTTCTATTTTCCTATCTTGACTAGAACACCTTGAAAGGCAGGTTAAAATAGAGAATTTTCCTAATTCTTTGGGCTCTGCCAGAATGTGGCAGTGTGGAGCAAGGAGAAAGCCAGCCCCTCAGCCTGCCTCTTCCTTCCTGTTCAGCTCTATCCCCTCCAATGGGACTCATGAGTATATACATGGATACTGCTGCCCCAGCATGCAAACTCCAAACACGTCTCCACTCTTCAGCCACCACAACTGTTTCTTAGCCTTCCCTTGAGCCATGCTGGAAGGGTAGACCTGGGGAAGGTATCTAAATGCAGACTTTGGCAGGAAATTATAGATTTGGGCAGGAAATTATAAATTCCTGGGAATCCAGTGTGTGATCCATAAAGATGAGCCCAGGTTTGAGTTAGGTACCTCCTCTTGCCCCCACAAAACTCCTATTTTATGAGGAGAGTTACAGTTGGAAGATGGCAGATGAGAAACTTCTAAAGCATTGTCTGAAAGACAAAGTTAGTGACTTAAGTTACTTAATTTTAATATTGGCTATGTTCATTGAACACCATGCATTCTTCCATTTTCAATAAGGATTCAGCATCTTGTGGCTATGGTGTATTTTCTTTTACAACTCACAATATTTTCTGACTTGATATAAATATTTCATGAAATTTATTAGCAATTAAAATGTATTAACTGGCTTAGGAATTTTTGAATACATTAAAGCTTCTGATTCCAACCTAATAGCCTGAATTTTTTTTACTACTATTCTATTTAGAAAATACAATTATGTCATAATATTTATAAAATTTGAAACTATTACCTGTCAAGTTTTGTTGCCTTTTAAAAAATTCTCAAGGGTCCTTTGTTTTTTCTCTATTTAATGTTTTGAGAAATCTTATAAATTCAGTTAAATATCATCATGGAGAAGAGAAATATACAGTAAAAATCCCTACAAAATAATATTATTGGACATTGTTAGATATTCCTTATTTTGCTAGTGTGATTTTTTTTTACACATTTTTTCTGACCATGTATATGGTAAATTTATACTTTAGGTAATTAGTGTGTTTCTTTTTAACAAAAAAGCATAGTATAGAAATGGTTAAACAGATATCAAACTGATAGATAACCATGTGAAATTTCCAGTACCTATTAAATAGTCAAAAGAATGAAGAGAATGTGAAAATGGATGGAAAACATTAAGGTGGTATGACTGGTGAAAACAAATCCTGAACAGAATTCCGAACATACATTTTAAAGGGGACTGTGGATGCTTGCAGAGAATGTATGGCTTTGCTTACTGTATGTCATACAATAGAGGGTCAGGCTCCTGAAACTCCAGGGAGGTAATTTAAAAAATATTGGGTTCAACACATTATTAACTAGCATATTTTTCTTCAAGAAATAGCAAAAGCTCAAAATTCAAGATTATTCAAGGAGACTGTAAATCATCAATTACTAACCTACATTACGAATATTGATAGAACATCTTAAACACTTTGGTGACTACTCCAATGAAAGGAAAATGTTCTGTGTTAAAACATTCTTTCTTATCATGAGAGACATGTATTTAGGTTGGATTGTGGTATCTGTGCATACACACACACACACACATACACACACACAAACACACATTCCTATATTCTGTATTCTGCACCCCTTCAGAATCAGACATAATTGGGTTGATATAATTGGAAAGGATATGATAAAACTTGTATTATTGTAATGGCATTTAATTTTTGAGACTGCAGATTAAGTGCTCTCAAATCTCAGAGAGATTTTATTTAAACGTTTTCTTAGTTTTAAAAAATCTGTGCAACTACTATATTACTGTTGATAATCATGGAGCACGTGGATAATGTTTGCTTTTAAAAATAGTTTTAAGATGTTTGAGAGATAGGAATAATTTTCTTTTTCTCTTTTTCAAATGGAACCACACAGATTATTGCTGCATGTTTTACTTGTTATTGTACCAATATGGAAAACACGTACGGATTAGAAGTAGTTGGCCATATTCCAAAAGGGTAATGTAGTCTTTTTTCTTTCTCTCTTTCCTTTTGTTTGTTTGTTTGTTGATGGAGGAAGAAACTGGGTAGTAGGTGGGTATGAATTTTATTTCTCTCAAAGGTTATATGTGGTACAAAATTCTAGTTAATTTCTATTTTACAGTGTTAGAAACAGTTCACAATAAAGAAAAATAACTTTTAAAGTGTATATCTATTATTCGAGAAGTTGATAACTAGCTTATACAGCATTGCTTCAAGTGAAAGATTTGGAAATTATTAACACAAATTATTTGAAAAAGAAAGCAGATTATCGAATTTCCAAATTAGAGTCATGCTCTAGGATGTAGTCTTCCCTATTCCACTCACACATTCCTATGACTGTTTTTATTTCACTTAAAATATAGTAAAAGTACACAAGCATCGATATAGCAAACCTATAGACATGGGAGGCATGCATTGGTAAAAAAGAGGGTGGAAATAGAAAAGAGAGCATGTTTCCCACCTGTCTTAAAGCCTTCCTTTGGACACTAAGAGAAGATTAACAAAAAGAAGCAGTATTCACCCTAAAAGTACAAAATATTTTTCCAAATATAGCCTGAAAGAAAACAACATCATTTTAGGGGAGAAGGAGGATGTCTTATGAATTATTCTCTTTTAATGGGCTGTACTATACACTAATATTTATAGATCTGGGGCAAAATTAGAGTTGTTGGCTTCTCCATATTTTTATCTTCTAAACATAGGCCAATAGTGATTATTGGAATCAACTTGTGTTTTCTGAACAGTTCTCTACTTTACCTTCAAATTTAGTTTATTATTTTTTATTCCTATAGATTAACCTATCATTATTAATAATTAGGCAAGCTTTATTTTCATGAAACAAAATGTCTTGTAGTTTGAAACACTTTTATGTATATGTCTCAGGGCTTGTAATGGTACAAATCAGTTTGACTTAGGGTTAAACTTGCGCAAGTGGGCAAAAAATACCATGTTTCTCCTTCATCTAGTCTAGTTATCCTTTATTTTGAGTGACTTTTACAAACTCATCTTCTTAAAGAATCATAGAAAAAGTATGGCATTGATAAGATGGAGCTGAGGTTGAATCTCAGCTCCACCATCACTTTATGATTAAGATACATTTCTTAAAATGTTTTCTTCTCTATACATTACATTAGTGGTACTTGATCGGGGGATTGTGGGAAGAATTTAATAAAACTGCTACTATGATAGTGCTGAGCATTCAATTTACATGGTCAGTATTACATTAACATTAATTATTTTCCCCTTTCTTCTAACTGTTTCCCCAGAGGGATTTTTTTTTTTTTTTAAAGAGAGGAGGTAAGTGTCACAAAGCATCATCAGGGATAAATAAACAATGATACTTTGGCTCAAGTGGTTTTCAGAAAAAAAAATAAGACAATGACTAGGTATTAGTTGTATTAGTTGGAAGAAATATTTTAAACAGTTGTTTAAAACTGAGAAACAGAAGCTTGCACAAGCCTCTTAGCCTCATCCACCAGAGGGCAGATAGAAGAAGCGGGAAGAACTACAATCCCACAACTTCAAGAACAAAAACCACAACCACAGGAAGTTAATCAAAATGAAAAAACAGAGGATTGTATTCCAGGTGAAGGAACAAGATAAAATCAAACTAAAAGAACAACTAAACGAAGTGGAGATTGGCAAACTTCCAAAAAAGAATTCAGAATGATAGGGAAGATGATCCGGGATCCTGGGAAAAGAATGGAGAAGATGCAAGAAATGTTTACCAAAGACCTAGAAGAGCTAAAGGACAAAGAAATGTAGATGAACAATCTACTAGAAGGAATCAGTTGCAGAATAACAGGGAGAAGAATGGATAAGTGACCTGGAAGACAAAATGGTGGAATCATTGCAGCAAAGCAGAATATAGGAAAAAGAATGGAAAGAAATGAAGAGAGCATAAGAGACTTCTGAGACAACATTAAATGCACCAACATTCACATTATAGGGCTGCCAGAGGAGAAGAAAGAGAGAAAGCACCTGAGAAAATATTTGAAGAGATAATAGCTGAAAACTTCCCCAATGTGGGAAAGGAAATAATCAACCAAATCCTTGAAATGCACAGAGTCCTAGGCAGGATAAACCCAAGGAGGAATACACTGAGACACATAGCAATCAAAGTGACAAAAATTCAGGACAAAGATAAAATGTTAAAAGCAACAAGGGAAAAATGACATATACCCTTGTGTGTTTTATATGTTATCAGCTGATTTTACAACCAAAATTCTACAAGTCAGAAGGTAATGGCAGGATATAGTTAAAGTGATGAAAGGGAAGAACTCACAAACAAGAATACTCTACCCAGCATGACTTTGTTCAGATTTGATGGAGAAATCAAAAGTTTTACAGACAAACAAAAATTAAGAGAATTCACTACCACCAAATCAGTTTTACAGAAAATGCTAAAGGAACTTCTCTAGGCACAAAACTTAAGAGAAGGAAAAGACCTGCAAATATAAACCCCAAACAATTAAGAAAATGGTAATAGGATCATGCATATTGATACTTGTCTTAAATGTAAATGAATTAGATGCACCAACCAAAGGCAATGGACTTGCTGGGTGGATTGAAAAAAAGACCTATATGTATGCTGTCTACAGAAGACCCACTGCAGACCTAGGGACACTGATAGACTGAGAGTAAAGGAATGGGAGAATGTATTCTATGCAAGTGGAAATCATAATAAAACTGGAGCAGCAATACTCATGTCAGAAAAAATAGGCTTTAAAGCAAAGGCTGTTTTAAGAGACAAAGAGGACACTACATAATGATCAAGAATTCAATCCAAGAAAAAGATATAACAATTATAAATATATATATGCACCCAACAGAGGAGCACATCAAAACAGAACCTATTTGCAGGGCAGCAAGACTCTTGAGAGTCCCTTGGACTGGAAGGAGATCCAACCAGTCCATCCTAAAGGAGATCAGTCCTGGTTGTTCATTGGAAGGACTGACGCTGAAGCTGAAACTCCAATACTTTGGCCACCTCATGCGAAAAGTTGACTCATTGGAAAATACCCTGATGCTGGGAGGGATTTGGGGCAGGAGGAGAAGGGGACGACAGAGGATGAGATGGCTGGATGGCATCACCGACTCGATGGGCATGAGTTTGAGTAAACTCCGGGAGTTGGTGATGGACAGGGAGGCCTGGCGTGCTGCGANCATTGGAAGGACTGATGTTGAAGCTGAAACTCCAATACTTTGGCTACCTGATGAAAAGAACTGAATCATTTGAAAAGACCCTGATGCTGAGAAAGATTGAAGGTGGGAGGAGAAGGGGATGACAGAGGATGAGATGGTTGGATGGTATCACCGACTCAATGGACATGAATTTGAGCAAGCTCTGGGGGATAGTGAGGGACAGGGAAGCCTGCTGCACTGCAGTCCGTGGGGGTCATAAAGAGTCAGATATGACTGAGCAACTGAACAACAAAAACAAAGATTTGCAAGTTACAAAATTAATACAGAGAAATCACTTGACTTTCTATACATTAATAATGAAATATTAGTAAGAGAAATTCGAGAAACAATTCCATTTTCTATCACATCAAAAAAATAAAATACCTAGGAATAAGCTTATTTAAAGAGACAAAAGACCTATACTCTGAAAACTATAAGAGGCTGATGAAAGAAATCAAAGACACAAAGAGATAGAAAAATATACCATGTTTGTAGATTAGAAGAATCAATATTGGCAAAATTACCATACTACCCAAAGCAATCTACAGATTGAATGCAATCCCTATCAAATTTCCAGTGGCATTTTTCACAGAAGTACAACCAAAAATCTTAAAATCTGTATGGAAATGCAATAGACCCAGAATGGCCAAAGCAATCTTGAGAAAGAAAATCAGGACTAGAAGAACCAGGTGCCCTGATTTCAGATTATACTACAAATCAAAACAGGATGGTACTAGAACAAAAATAGAAACATAGATTAATGGAACAGGATTGAAAGTGCAGAAATAAACTCACACCCTTCTGGTCAATTAATCTATGACAAAGGAGGCAAGACAACATAATATTGGAAAGTTAGTCTCTTCAACAAATGGTGCTGGGAAAATTGGACAGTGACATGTAAGAAATGAAATTTGTGTGCTATGCTTAGTCGCTCAGTCATGTCCAACCCTTTGCGGCCCCATGGACTGTAGCCCGTCAGGCTCCTCTGTCCATGGGGCTTCTCCAGGCAAGAATACTGGGATGGGTTCACATGCCCTTTTCCAGAGTATCTTCCCAACCTAGAGATTTAACTCAGGTCTCCCACATTGCAGGCAGATTCGTTACCATCTGAGCCCCCAGGGAATCCCAAGAATGCTGGAGTGGGCAGCCTGTCCCTTCTCCAGGGCATCTTCCTGGCCCAGGAATTGAACCAGGGTCTCCTGCATTGCAGGTGGATTCTTTACTAACTGAGCTCCCAGGGAAGTCCTAGAGAGGGTTGCCATGCCCTCCTCCAGGGTATCTTCTCAACCCAGGGATTAAACCCAGGTCTCCCACATACCAGATGAATTCTTTACTGTCTGAGCCACCAGCAAAGCCCACATGTTAAAAAGTGAAATTATATCATTCTTCAATACCATATAGAAAAATAATCTCAAAACAGATTAAAGATCTGAATGTGACACTGGGCGCTATAACACGCCCAGAGGAAAACATAGGCAGAGTACTCTGACATAAATCACAGCAATATCTTTTTTAATCTGTCTCCCAGAATAATGGAAACAAAAGCAAAAATGTACAAATAAGATGTACTTCTGCATAGCAAAGGAAACAATAAAGAAAATGAAAACACACGTATCGGGAAAAAATATTTGCTAAGGATGTGACTGACAAGGGATTAGTTTCCAAAATTTACCCACAGTTCATGACACTTGATAGTATTAAAGCAAATAATATTGTTTAAAAACGGGCAGAAGACTTCATGTGCAGCAGCATGGACGGACCTAGAGATTGTCATAGTGAATACAGTCAGTCAGATAGAGAAGGAGAACTATTGTATGATACTCCTTATATGTGGAATATAAAAAAAAATTATACAAATACAGTTACAAAACAGAAAGAGACTCATGAACTTAAAGAACAAACATGGCTGTTGGGGGGAAGGATGGGGAAGGGATAGTTAGGGAGTTTGGGATGGACATGTACACACTGCTATATTTAAAATGGGTAAGCAACAAAGACCTTCCATAGCACATGGAACTCTGCTCAATATTAGTGGCAGCCGGGATGGGAGGGGAGTTTGGGAAAGAATGGATACATATATTTGTATGACTGGGTCCTTTTGCTTCCCACCTGAAATTATCACAAGGTTGGTAGTCTGCTACACTACAATAAAAAATAAAAAAATAACAAAAAGTAAAACTGAGAAACAGTGTTAGCTCTTATGCGGTCCCATGTTTTACAATAGAGGGTAGGTGGAGCCTATATAGATATTTTTCTCCTGAAATAAGGTGAAACTTCACTTATGTTAGGTATTAATTCTTGATTTGCTTACATGGAGCTTAGCACAAATAACTCCGCTGTGGGTCTGTTGTCTGCTTTTTAACAATCATTAAGTGTACCATTAAAGGGTCAAGTTAAAAACATAATTAACTCAATGGCAAAATTAAGGATTAGCTGAAAGAATCATAGCTCACAGTAAACTAATGTTTGCATACACTACTGTAGCATTCAAGGCAGGAGGTACAGTATCTAGTGCCAGCCACATAAGTGTTTCAAAAGATTCAGTGAAAGAATGTTCCTGATTTGCTTTTGTTCTGATGCAGGACATTCTTGTTGAGTCAAAGTTTCTGTGCTATTACTTAAATTTCCTGGGAGTAAATGCCAGTTAAATGTGTGGTGCTCTCTCTATGGTGTTCTTTGTGATTTTGCTTTTCTCCAAAAAAATGTAGAAAATAAAAGGCTTCTAAGGGCAAGGCTGCTTGGTTTTCTCAGGGGTATTTCATGTATTTTGTGTCAACTTCAGAGTCTTTACCATAGTTGAATTCACTGCAAGTTGTTACAGAAATTACATGTGAGTTGATGAGTTCAATATGGTTTTTCTTTCACAGAATTCCTCCACCTCGAGCTCCCCCTATGAACATCCTCTCTGCAGTCATCACTGAAGCCTTTGGAGTGGCACTTGTAGGCTATGTGGCCTCACTGGCTCTTGCGCAAGGATCTGCCAAAAAATTCGGATATTCAGTTGATGACAATCAGGTGTAGTATGTCCCAGTCCCTCTCCACACCTCCCCATAGCTATTGTATCATTTTGATGTGTACTTCCAGATGCTGAAAATGTTGAATTTATGAAAAATACAGCTTTCCTAAGTGTATAACAAGAATAGGTAGAACAAACCGAAACAAAAATCTGTAAATCACTGATAGAAAGGTGAAAATCTGATCTTCGTGGGTTGATTATAGTACACTTTTGTTTTGAAATAGAGGGATATCTTGTTCTTTTTGTTTTTAGCAGAAAATATAAATATATTTATGATTACATGCCAACTTTTTAAAAAATTCAGATTTCAAAATACAAAGAACACTATTATCCTTCTATGTAAAAAACTAAAGGATGAATGGGTTTCTTAGCATACAAAGGATGAAGATTTTACTGAGAATGTTTCGGAATCTACTTTTACTAGTGTTTTGTCTCAGCCCCATGGCCCTGCATTCCTACAGAGGTTTGCAGACATAGCTGTGCAGTAGTGGTTAGAATCCCAAAGTACCTATGCCTAAAATCTCACTCTGAAATTGTTTCTATGCCCTAGTTTTGTCATTTGTAAAAAAGCAGGTTTATTCATTCAACAGATGGATATTGAACCCTATGTATAGCAGACACTGGTCTAGGAGCAAGGGATACGATGGTGCATAATAGAGACCATGTCTTTCTTCATCTCAAAACCTCCCAGTGGCTTCCCGTAGTACTTAGATTAAAAGCCTATTGCCAAGGCTTACAAGGCCCTACCTGACCTTACTACCATCTCTTTTCCTCTATAATCTCGCATTTTTTTTGTAGCCTGTTCTAGCCTCACTTCCTGCCTTGGTTTTTTTTTTTTTTTTTTTTGAGTTTACTAGCTATGTTGTTAGTTCAGGATGTCTGTACTTGCTGTTCCCTTTTCCAGGAATTCTATACCCTCAAGTAGCTGCATTCCTCCTTTATTTAAATATTTCCTTCTTAGAGAGACCTTTCTTGGTAAGCCAAATCCTCATCTCCAAAGCTTTCCACTCTGTTTTACTTTCTGTGTTCATCTTGTTTATTGGTAGCATCCCTCCACTAGAACACCAGTCTGTGAGGGCGGGGATTTTTGTCTGTGTTCCTGGCAACAGCAGGAGCAGAAAAGTGTTAGGAAGCTTCTGTAGGAATCCAGGTGACATCTGATGACTTGGATGCAGCAATGAAGGAGATGAGAAGTGGACGGATTATGAATTGGATGTGGGCACCGTCTGGGCAAAGGGGAAGTCAAGACTCTCTCTAAAGCTTTTGGCCCAAATAGAGCTTGAGGTGGGGAAGGGTGTGGGAGGACCAGTGTGGGAGTATGTAGAGCAATAGCTGATTAATTAAGCTTGGGATACCTGTTAACCATTCAAATGAAGATGCTGAGGAATAGGTTGGCTATATCAGTCTGAAGTTCAAAAGAGTAGTCTAGGCTTGGAGATATAAATGTGGCGGCTGTCAACATGTTTGGGTAGCTCAGAATAGAGAAAAGAGTGATCCACTGTGTGTGATTGTTTATGTGAGAAGGAGGCTGAGAAGCAGTGACTGGGGAGGTCGGAGGAAACCAGGGGGGTGAGAGGTTCCAGAAGGACCTGGAAGGAGGCTTTAAGGCGGAGAATGTGGGCAACTGTGTCAAATGCCACTTTTACTGCCAGGGGAGGTAGGAATTAACCATTGGATTTAGCACCCTGGAGGTCATTGGTGGAATGGTGGGAACAAAACCCTTTATTGTAGTAACTTGAAACCCGAGTAATTGGCAACAGATACAGTAAATACCTTGTGCTTCCCTATAAAGTTATTATTGTTAGAAGGATCAAATGAGTGAAGGGCTCAGAACAGTTTCTGGCTCATTGTAAGCACTCAGTAAATGTTAGCTATTTTTAGAATGATGGTTAAATTACAACCAGTGGAGAAAACAGAATACAAAAGACGCTGCATTCCATGACAAGCTTTATCTGTGGTCTCTAAAATCTGGGCTTCCCAGGTGGCGCAGCAGTTAAGAATCCACTGTCAGTGCAGGAGATGCTAGAGAGGCAGGTTCGATCCCTGGGTCAGGAAGATCCCATGGAGTAGGAAATGGCAACCTACTCCAATATTCTTGCCTGTATAAACAGACTCCTCCATGGACAGAGGAGTCTGGCAGGCTGTAGTCCATGGTGTTGCAAAGAATTGGGCATGACTGAGCAAATCGCACACACACACACTCAAACACACACACGCTAAAAGTGGATTGTGATTAGGAAATGATACATTGCCCTGTCATCATTCCTGCAGGAACTCCTGGCCCATGGCCTCAGCAATGTGATCGCTTCGTTCTTCTTCTGTATACCAAGTGCGGCTGCCATGGGAAGAACTGCTGGCCTGTATGGCACAGGAGCAAAGACACAGGTAACTTCATTCTTCAGCAGGCACAGAAGGACTGAGAGAGAGAGAGGAATGAGCATCTAAGTCCCCGAGAATAATGTTATTTCTTTAGTCTCTTAAACATCAAGGCAGTTTATCTGTTCTCCTGCTTAGAAATGATCCTTGAGAAGCTGAAGGATTCAATGAGCAGACAAAAAGAAAAAAGTCCTGTACTAGCGCAGGCTTCTTGTCGTCAATCTCTGAGCAAAAGCTCCCTCTCGTGGTGCCTCTGATTTTACTTTTTGCTAATCTAACCCGTCAGTTGGAAATTTTAAAATCTTCGTTCATTTCCTTTAAATAGAATGAAAACAGTTGTATGCAGCATCAGCCTTGATACTGACATTCCTGTCTATAGAGATGTACAAGTATGTGAGTGAACAATACAATGTCTGCACATTTTGGCTTAAAGAAACAATGGTGTGTTTTAGGAACTCAAATCAGTTTGACATTTTAGAGCCTGCTGTATAGTAGTGATTATGCTGGATACTAGTAAAATTATCAATGGTGGCAATTAAGATGATTCTGTGATGATAAGGATGGTGGTGGTGGTGGAAGCATATATTGAGTTATATGCCAGGCATTGCATGTCATACTTTTTTTTGTAAATGAACTCATTTGTTTTAGGAAACTCTATGAAGGAGGCATAATTATTATTCTAGGTTTCCACATGAGAACATTGAGGAAAAGAGGGTTAAACTAACTTACTCAGGTCACAGAGCTAGAAAGTGGCAGAGCTGAGATTTGAACCCAGATAAATTTACTCCAAATCTTGCATTCTTAAGCACTGTTCTATACAAGGAAATTCATATGTGTGTTGATTTAATAAATTAACATGAACAGCTAACCATTGTTAAAACAACTCATGCATATTTGATTTTCTTTTTCGGCTTTTTCTGTGTTATTAGTTGGCTGTGACGTGTCTTGGTTGCTACACGCTGGCTTTCTCTGGTCGCCGTTGGTGGGCTGCCTTTGTTGCCCTGCGTGGGCTTCGCATGCAGCGCTCCTCATGTTGCAGGGCCTGGGCTCTGGGCGTGGGCTTCAGTCTTTGCAGCATGTGGGCTCAGGGGCTGGGGCGCATGGCCTTGTTGCTCTGTGGCATGTAGCATCTTCCTGGACCAGGGATCCAACTGGTGTCTCTTGCATTGCAAGTGGAATCTTTGCCTGCTGAGTAACCTGGGAAACCCATTTTTTAGTAGCCTACCTTATATTAAGTCCTTTTGGGGGTGTTGTAGAAGAGTAAATTTGAAAAATATATAGTTCTTGACCTTGGGGGAGAGTGGCAAGAGAAAGATGGGTAAATAAACATTAAAATATAGCATAAAACTAATAAAATTATTGATGAATGTATCATGGAGCAGATGGGAAGCAGTAACAAATTCTGATTCTATAATAATATGACATAAGGATGTGTAATTCTCATTCAATGTTGTTTTACATGACATTTGATTTTTAGGTGGTTCATGATTTAAAGCATAAGTTCATAATGTGCATTGGCACAAGCATTTTTGCCAACTCTCAAATATTTGTAATCTAAATTTGAATGTTTAATACATAGTGTACTCAAATATCATTCCTTACTCTGAAGACTTACATCTGTAAAATTTGAGGATTCTATAGTGATTTCCACCTGGTTTCTTACAAGGATGAGTGTGTGAGATTTCCTTTCATCAGTTCTTCATGGTATTCTCTTCATTAGACTTCAGAAGAAAGAAGACGCACCTAACAAAATGCTAATTCAGAGAAGCAAAGCTCAGTAGCACTGTATTTTTATGCTGGTTTGCTTGTTGAGATCATCCATAATCTGCTCAACTAGTCCCATTAAATTGCACAGGGAAGTAATCTGACTTAATGTGCATACCTCAATTGAGGATGTTTTCCCATGGTAGTCATTTTGGCATTACAACTATTAAGTTTACGTGGGGATAACAGACATGATTTGAAGAAGGCCTTGGGACAGACAAGTCTTAGAAGTTTTGTTCTAAATAGGCTATTTGTGAAACCAGCTTTCCATGTGACAAGACTTCACAAAGTAATCCCTTAAAATATCTCTCTTTCTCTCGTAGGTACTAGACTTATACCCAGTAAGTTGCTCTAGAAGAATGAAAATCTTTCAACTTTCAGGCTAATAATAGCCAATCATTTCACCAATTGATTCTTTCTTATTCAGAAACACTATGAGTATCTCTGTAGAAAGATAGCTTTTAAAATGCAGATATGGCCTTGTTCCTTCCTCCCAGAGCCCATAAAAGGTCTTAGCTTTCTGACCTTTCAGCTACCCAAACTGTGTGCTTCCCCCTGCAGCCTCATCCTGGACTGTTCTCCGCCTCACTCTCAGCTCTCTAGTCCGGCGCCTCCTTCCTCCTGAGCTCTGGTGTCTTCCTTTTATCCGTTTTGTCTCTGTGGCTGCCTCCTCTTCCCTTCTAAGGTAACTCCTCCCATTCATCAGATTTCACTAAGACTTCTGGGCCGACTGTGTTCTTTCCTTCAGAGACCTTAGCTCTGTTGGACTTCACGTGTTTATCAGTGTGATTACACGATTGTTGGACTTCACATGTTTATCAGTGTGATTACACGATTGGTGTCTGCCTTCTGCTCTTGACTGCAGCTCCTAGAAGTCCCTGTCTGCTTTTGTTCCCCATATCATCAGTGTCCAGCCCAAGACTTAGCACATGGCTAAGCACATAGCACTTAGCACAGTAAGTGTGGGAAGAGTGAATGAAAAATAAAAGTATTGGATGATTATAAAACTATTCAATTTTGCTGGTTTAAGAAGGAACAGAATAAGTCAGGCAATAGCTTTTATTCTCACTTAATATAGTACATTTGAAATCAGGAAAATGCTTTCATTTGAAATCAGGCTTAGGATCAAGTTCAGTTGCTCAGTCATGTCTGACTCTTTGCAACCCCCTGGACTGCAGCACGCCAGGCCTCCCTGTCCATCACCAACTCCCAGAGTTTACCCAAACTCATGTCCATTGAGTTGGTGATGCCATCCAACCATATCATCCCCTGATGTCCCCTTCTCCTCCTGCCCTCAATCTTTCCCAGCATTAGGGTCTTTTCCAGTGAGTCAACTCTTTGCATCAGGTGGCCAAAGTATTGGAATTTCAGCTTCAACATCAGTCCTTCCAGTGAACAACCAGGACTGATCTCCTTTAGGATGGACTGGTTGGATCTCCTTATAGTCCAAGGGACTCTCAGTGTTTAGCTGAGCAAAGTCTTCCTGGTCTCTAAACTGAGGATAACCGACCAGTCAGTATCCAGACTAATGCTTCCCAGTGTCTTTTATACTGGGGATAACCCACTTACTGCCTGACTTGAATAAAATCTTTCCAGTCCTTCAACTGAGGATGTCACTCAGTATCTAAACTGAGCAACCCAGGTACTTCTTCTTGAAACCAAGTTCCAAGGATAGCCTTGTTCCCCATCAACTAAAATTTAAAATCATCAATAGTGGGAGATCCTAGAACCACGAAAAACTCACTCAAATTCGTCTGGACTCCCTGAGGTGGTCGATGGGCATGTGGAGCCTCTGCTGGTACCAAGGCTTTAGACCCTCATGAGATTCGGGCAGAGGAGAGGGATCCTTCTTCATGGTTGCCATAACTGTCAACTTAAAAAAATATTCACAACCTAAAAGTTGAGAGTTATGCTTTAGTGAAAGTCGCTCAGTTGTGTCCGACTCTTTGCAACTCCATTGACTATATCCAGTCCCTGGAATTCTCCAGGCCAGAGTATTGGAGTGGGTAGCCTTTCCCTTCTCCAGGGGATCTTCCCAACCCAGGGACTGAACCCAGGTCTCCCACGTTGCAGGTGGATTCTTTACCAGCTGAGCCGCAAGGGAAGCCCAGTTATGCTTTATTCAGTGCGGATTTTTAGGACTTCAAGCCTGAGGACAGCAACTCAAGGGACCCCGAGAAAACTGATCTGAGGAAGCCAGGGGAGGAGTAAAGTCATGGAGAAGTTTTGCAACAAGGAGCAAGTAGTCTGAAAATCAAAACATTATTATAAAAGGAAGCCAGATCTATTCAAGTTAAGGAATTTGGTGCTTTTCTAGGTAGGGGAAGATAGGAGAGTCTGGGCTCCCTGAAATCACTCCTTTCATACGTGTCTCCACCATCTGGGACCAGTGTTCTGTGTTTTTCACACCCTGAGCTTCTCTGAGGTGCACCACAGGGAGTGGCTGCCGGATCACAGGGATTCTTCTTCCCGGGTGCCCTTAGGAGCCCAGGAGCTCACACTGGAGGGCTGCAGTCCCTGATGGCGGTGATATCCTTGTTTACTGATACAGCAGGAAATACTCTATTTCTCAAGGTTCAGTTCAGTTCAGTTCAGCTGCTCAGTCGTGTCCGACTCTTTGTGACCCCATGGACTGCAGCACGCCAGGACTCCCTGTCCATCACCAACTCCCGGAGTTTACTCAAACTCATGTCCATTGAGCCAGTGATGCCATCCAACCATTTCATCCTCCATCGTCCCTTTCTCCTCCCATCTTCAATCTTTCCCAGCATCAGGGTCTTTTCAAGAGTCAGTTCTTCGCATCAGGTGGCCAAAGTGTTGGAGCTTCAGCTTCAGCATCAGTCCTTCCAATGAATATTCAGGATGGTTTTCCCTTAGGAAAAGGTTAACACTGATGTTTGCATAGTCATCTTTGTAAGTAACCTGTAACACAGATAATATTTGTTTGAGAATGTAACAAGAAGAAAATATAGATTATTTCATTATCCTGTACCAGAGTTAGCATAAACCTGAATAGTTACAACTTTAGAATAAAAAGTTATCTGTGGATATATAATTACCATGAAATGAAATGAGTTAAAGAAAACTAAAATGCCTAGAAAAATGTTTGTCCTCTGGTTAAGTAAATGTGTGAACAGTTTTTTCCTACTAGTTGCAGTCTAAGCTAAGCTGGAACTTATTAATAAGGAGGCATTTAGCTTTGTTTGTTTTCTGAGTTTAATAAAGGAAACAAGTTTATCTCCCTTCTGGTTGTAATTTGCCTTTAAATTTTTTTCTAGGTAAGTCAGAGGTATATAAGAAAGTAGCACTTCATATACAAAGTTATGGATGTTCAGAATGTGGGTAATACTTGAAAACATAGTGTAACTGTGTTATTACAGAAGTCTAAAGTCAGAGAATTCTGTTATAGCATTGCAAATATCTCAACTTAGTTTAACCTCAGTGTATAGTGACTGAGTTGGTTATCTACAGAACAGTGGCTTGGACTGATTGCTTTTAAAGGGGTTTTCCAAATTCAAACTTTAGCACCTGGGTCTCTTATTTATGGAGACAAAGAGTGTCAGTATTATATATTATATTATTGATTTCTATGCCCGAGGAGTAGATACCCTGGGCATAACTGATAAGGATTTCTTACCTAATTAGATGCCCTTGTCTTTTGATCTAGGGCATCAACAAAGATGAAATGCATTAAAGAGCTGACATAAGCTATTTGATTACATAGTCTGTTTCATTATATGACTTACTATCTAAGGTAAACAAATAGTTTTTTTCACCCATTGTCATCTTTTGAAAGTAAGATCCATTTACTCTTATTTTAACAATAAGACTGAAATTATAGTTCAGTGAGCACACTATTGTTAATGTATTTACGAAAAACTGTGTAAATAAAAGATAAGTAATCTTTAGAGAAAATCTTGAAGGTAGTTGAAGTTTACTGTTTTTAAAAAGAATTATTTTATTAGGTTGTAGCTTCTCTAACAGCTTTAGTGTATTTAAGGTATCTAGAAACTTGAAATATATTTGACTTTATGGATCTAATTCAGTTCATAATCCACATTCCTTCTAATTCTTAGCTTTGTGACCTTGGGAAAGTCACTTTGCCTTTATGTCCCTCATATCCTTCAAAGGAGTTTAGAGTCTAGCTGTCTCAAGTTCATAGCTGCAAATAAGATTAAGGTACCTTTGTAAGTGTTTGATAAAGGTCTCACAGCGACACTGCATGCCATTGTCTTTTGACATGAAGTGCAGTTTAACAGTTGGTGCCTTTTTCTTTCCACATGAACATGGATATACTGAATCACTTATGGGGATATCTGAATGAATTCTATAACCTGCCTTCTGACAACGAGCTTCTTTCAGTCTAGTGGAATGACAGGCATAATATTTTGTCATTTAAAAACTCATGTAAAATCACCAGTTACTCCTAAATGATCAGTTTAGTGGCAGTTTAGTGTATTAGAACTTCCCTAACAACCTCTAGTTCCCTAATGAGTTATTTCCCACAGAAGGATTTTTCCCTTTTACATGCTATATAATGCTGTAGGGGAGTTCCACTAAATATGGAAGGAACTTGTATCAGTTGCTTTCTCTTAGTTTTATGATTTTGAGTTTAATCCATGCTGTTACATTTGTGAATAGTCTATTCTTTTTATTATTGAGTAGTATTCTCTTGTAAGGATGTACCAAAATTTATCTATTCACCAATTGGTAAGCAATTTAATTATTTACAGTTTTGGTGTTTATGAATACAGCTGCTATAAATATTTACATGTATGTTGATAGGCATAAGTTTTCATTTCTCTTAGGTAGTTTTAGGTCAGACATTACTTCATGAGAAACTGCCAAACTTTTTTTGGAAGTGGCTGCACCATATCTTAAGTCCCACTAGCAGTGTCTGAGAACTCAAGTTGCTCTGAGACCTTACTATTGATTATTTGTCTATATATTTATTTTTAACCACTCCAGTTTCCTTTGATTCCTCCATTACGATATTTTAGGTATTTTTTTTGGTCCTGGGAAAGCCTCTTGGTAGGCTGACAGTTTGGCTAAATGTTTCTATTAAGATGTGAACATTTGTTTACGTGAAACTGGTTCTCCATCAAGTGGAGCTTAGTTAGAAGTGAGCTGTTTTGAATTGCCTTTTGTCAACATATTGAGTTGGTTAAAACACAGTACTAATGATTTTTTTAGGATTAACAAAATTGTTTGCTTCACTGCAGAGACTGCTTCCATATCCCATCTAACTGTTTCATACTAACGAAGGACTCCTAAGAAGAGAGCAAAGGCTTCTGTGGAAATTTGTCATCAGCCCAGAAAACCCCTAAAGCTGTGTGTATGCAGTTATTACCCACATAACTAAGGAATGAGAAGGGAGGTCAGGTGAACAACAGTGGGCTTAAGTACAATTGAAATGTCATTTTCACCATCAAACAAACAACAGAAAATTGTGATGTGTGATAATAGTTGACAGTGTCCTGTTTCTTTGTGTAGAATGGCTTTTCTCTTATTGCTGACTGAATTTCGTCACACTAGTTTGTCACCTGTCACGTTTGGGCTCCTTCAACTATACAGTATAGATAATGACAATCTGTATAATTTAACAATCACGTGCCAACATTTTGTTTCTTCTTATCAAGAAGAACTAAGATTATCTTTCCCCCTATAACTTTGGAATCACAAAAAAATTCAAGGATTTCTTTTTTTGCCTGTCTTGTGTTTTATAGGTGGCTTGTCTAATATCCTGCGTTTTTGTCCTGATAGTCATCTATGCAATAGGGCCTTTGCTTTACTGGCTGCCCATGGTAAGCAATACTTTTTATTATTTAATTTTAAAATTTAACATTAAAGAGAATCATTCCATTTTAAGCATTTCTTTGAAGAACAACCTCAGTGATCCTAAATCTGAAAAGTTATGTGGCATAAGTAATGGTTGTATGGAGGAGAGATAGAAAGAGCCCACATTTGATGGGTAAGGTATGGGAGGGTACCATGGCTGTTTTCATTTAATTAGATTTATTTTGTATTCAGTTCGAAGGTAGAATTAAGCAATCTCTGTTATAAGAAATAGACTTTGGAAGAAGTTTATAAAATTTAGACTCTTAGAAAATGCATGCTGGGCAAGAGAGTAGGGAACAAAATATTTCTTGCCACCCTTGATACATCTTTATACAAAGTGACTCAGAACATTAGTGTGGGTATCTGCCTTGCTTTTCGCAGGCCTGGGACACTATAGCAAGATGCTGGTCTTCAGGGATCCAGAGACAGTTCTTGTTTTAATTCTTCCTTCATGTAATAAGAATAAATCATTTTCATGAGAGGATCTTCCAATAATCAAGTTTATTTCTCAAGAGACTTATAAATATATTCTGATGCAACCAGATAATTTATATTTAAGATGATTAAAGAAATACATGATACACTGAATTTTTGCAATAAATTGCAAACAAATGGCAATGAATAATTATAAGGTTAACAGGACATTCAGTCTTATCACATTCACCCTTATAGTTCACTACTTTTCTTTTTATTTCCTCCATTTTTTAAGAATGGAATAACATCTACCCTGTGACTTTTCTAGAACTGATATTATGTTCTTAAAGTACAATAATAGGTTAGTTCTAAACAAAATGAATATTACTTTAGTCTTCTAAATGATGATAACTATTCTCTAGTAAGTATTTAGAAAACAAAGACATAAAATACATTGATTCTTTTAAATTTAGATTAAAGTCTTTATCTTGAATCTTCATAAGCTTATTTTTTATTTGTAGTGTGTTCTTGCAAGTATTATTGTTGTGGGACTGAAGGGAATGCTAATACAGTTTCGAGATTTAAAAAAATACTGGAATGTGGATAAAATTGACTGGGTAAGTAGAAGTTTAACCTAAAATTGCTCTCTTGGCTTAAACACATGTTACAAAATAAGCTTTAATAGTTCCATTTACAGAAGATAGTTTTAGCCATTTGAGACTTACATTTTACAAACAGTTTTTACTTATTTACAGACTATAATTTTTTTTCAAAGTCTTAAAACATGAAAATATAAAATGTTCTTATAAGAACAGAAATGGAATTGTATCAAGTTTTGACTAATGTGCTGTTTAAGACCTTTCTAAAAAATGTTATCACTTGAATGGTTTGTGAATTCCCAGTTTCCATTATGAATTGATTATAGAAGTTACAAGAAACAGCTAGTAGAAATATGACTATATATAACATATATGAAAAGCCAGCATTAATTTCTAAGAAACATATACTTCATTGACATAGGATAAACATATTAATAGTGACCATGTTCTCGGTTGCTCAGTCATGTCCAAGTCTTTACAGTCCCATGGATCGTAGCTCCCTAGGCTCTTCTGTTCATGGGATTTCCCAGGCAAGAATACTAGAGTGGGTTGCCATTTCCTTCTCCAAATGGTGACCATATTCATTCTAAATACAGAGTCTCATGAATTGCTTTTTTAAGTGAGTTACATTGAGAAGAATATTATGTTAATAGTATATTGCTAGGAACACATTCCTCTGGTGGCTCAGCTGGTAAAGAATCTGCCTGCAATGCGAGAGACCAGAGTTCGATCCCTGGATTGGGAAGACCCCCTGGAGAAGGGGATGGCAACCCACTCCAGGATTCTGACCTGGAGAATTCCATGGACAAAGGAGCTGGTGGGCTACAGTCCGTGGAGCTGCAAAGAGTCAGACGTGACTGAGCAGCTAACAACATAGCATAAAGGAACAGATTAAATTATACTATAAAATATGGATTCTACTAACATCAGTTTTTAGTATGCTTGTTCTAGAGAAATGTGTCTGTGTGAGAACATTCAGTATTCTCTCCCTCCCATAGATGGGTGAGCTATTTCATTAGTAGACTCTGCTGAGTTCTATTATGGCATTTACCATATTGAAATGCAATTATCTATGTACTCCTTCAAATTCATTACTCTGAGAGACTTTGGAGGATTATTTATGCTGGAGCCTAATTTAATAATACTCCTCTTATATCTCAATATTACTGAGCTCCTACCAAGGTACAGTACTAGGTGTTACATGAAAATGCAGAGATGAATAAAGAAGTACTTACCCTCTTCAGACACTGATATCTGTGCAGCCTGCAGACACAGACACATTAACTGTTACGTGAGGCATGATACAACATAACAGAAGCAAAAGTAAGAACTTGGCACTGGAGAAAAGTAGAAGCTGAAACATTTAGTTTGGACTGGGTTAATACAGAAGAGTTAGAGCAAAGCTGAAATGTAGACTGAGACTTGAAGGAATAGTACTTTTTAGGCAGTCCAAGAGACCAAAATTAACCAGGCTGATGAAGGAACAAGACTTTTTTAAGGTGATATATATGAAGTGGCACATGGAAATAGAAAAACTGAGAAGATGCAAAGTTATTTAACAAGCTATTGATAATCCCATGATAAAGGTATTGATAAGAAACTCATTAATCACATAAGGGGGAGGACATTATCATAATGGAAGGGGAGAGATCTCTAGGAAGTGTCAGGGGATGAGATGGCATCACTAACTCAAACTAACATTAGTTTGAGTAAACTCAGGAAGATAGTGAAGGACAGGGAAGCTTGGCGTGCTGCTCTCCAAGGGGTCACAGAGTTGGACATGACTTAGCAAATGAAAAACTAGATATATGTATACATATATACATATTTATGCAATGAAATATCATTAAGCTATAAAAAGGAACAAAAATGGGTCATCTGTAGAGATATAGATTGACCTAGAGACTGTCATAAGGAGTGAAATATGCAGAAAGAGAAAACCAAATATCACAGAATAATGTATGTATGTGGAATGTAGAAAAATGGTGCAGATCAACCTATTTTCAGGGCAAGAACAGAGATGCAGATGCAGAGACTGGACATGTGGACACAATGTGGCAGGCGGTGGGGTAAGATGGATTGTGAGACTGACATATATACCCTACTGTGTGTGAGGTAGAAGGCCAGTGGGAACCTGCTGTGTAGTGCAGAGTGCTCAGCTCAGGGCACTGTGGTGATCTAGATGGGTGGGATGGAGATCCAAGAGGGTGGGGATATATGTAAAATTTTAGTTCAGCTCAGTTCAGTCACTCAGTCCTGTCCGACTCTTTGCGACCCCATGGACTGCAGCAGGCCAGGCCTCCCTGTTCATCATCAACTCCCAGAGCTTACTCAAACTCATGTCCATTGAGTCGGAGATGCCATCCAACCATCACATCCTCAGTCGCCCCCTTCTCCTTTCACCTACAATCTTTCCCAGCATCAGAGTCTTTTCCAATGAGTCAGTTCTTCCTATCAGGTGGCCAAAGTATTGGAGTTTCAGCTTCAGCATCAGTCCTTCCAATGAATATTCAGGACTGATCTCCTTTAGGATGGACTGGTTGGATCTCCTCGCAGTCCAAGGGACTCTCAAGAGTCTTGTCCAACACCACAGTTCAAAAGCATCAATGCTTCAGTGCTCAGCTTTCTTTATAGGCCAACTCTCACATCCATACATGACCACTGGAAAAACCATAGCCTTGACTAGACAGACCTTTGTTGGCAAAGTGATGTATACTTACAGGCTGATTCACATTGTGGTACAACAGAAACACACAACATTTTAAACCAACTATACCCTAATAAGTGAAATAGAGAGCCTTATGCATCATTAGTAGTAAGCTACCTTAATTCTTTTTATAGCAATCCTAGAAAAGAGAATGCTATTGAAAATGATCAAAACTATTCAGTTTTATTTGTAATATTATTACATTGAATGAGAAAATAGTGGAAAATTATGGCATGCTTTTGAACCAAACACATAAACCAACAATTTACAGATTTTAAATAAAGTGTTTGTGAGGATTAAATTAGCAGTTGGCAACATCTCTATATAAAAGACTGAACTTTTTCACTTTGTCACTCCATTAACCTCTGCCACAGGGAGTCTGATGGAGTGTGGATTTGTTTCTTTTTTTCTGGACTTTGTGTGTGTGTTTGTGTGAACATATATTTTTATTTCTCTCAGGTAATTACCCAGTAGTGAAACAGGTTGGTTATGTGGTATGTGTGTGTATATATATATATATATATATATATATATATATATATATGCCTTCCTGTAGCTCAAATGGTAAAGAATCTGCCTACGATGCAGGAGACCAGGGTTTGAGCCCTGGGTCTGGAAGATCCGCTGGAGAAGGGAATGGCAAGCCACTCCAGTATTCTTGCCTGGAGAATCCCATGGACATAGAAGCCTGGTGGGCTACAGTCCACGGAGTCACAAAGAGTTGGACACAACTGAGTGACTAACACACACACACACATACACACACGCACATATACAATTTAATTTATAAAAATATATATAATTTATTTTTAATTGTAGGATAGTTGCTTTAGAATGCTGTGTTGCTTTCTGCCATACAACAATGTGAATCAGCTATAAATACATATGTCCCCTCTTTATTGAACCTTCTTCCCACTCTCCAACCCATCCCACCACCCCTGGTTGTCAGAGGGCACAAGTTTGAACTTCCTGTGTTATCCAGAAACTTCCCACTAGATACCTACCTTGCATATATTAATGTATATCTGGGTCTTATAGTATTCTTATTCCTAGTTTGTAAAGAAATCTTCATAATGTCTCCATAGGGGCCATATCAATTTACTTTCCCCCTAACAATGAAAGAAGTTTGCCTTTCTTCCACATCCTCTCCAACATTTATTTTTTGTAGATTTTTTCATGATGGCATTTCTGACTAGTACCTCATTGTACTTTTGATTTGCATTTTTCTAATAATGAGTGATATTGAGCATTTTTTCCCCGTGTTTGCTGGCCAGCTGTATGTCTTTTTCAGAGAAATGTCTGTTTATGTCTTCTGCCCATTTTTAGATTGGATTGTTTGTTTTTCTGATATTGAGCTTGCTGCATGAGCTGCTTATATGTTTTGGAGATTAATCCTTTGTCAGCTATTTCATTTCCAACTATTTCCTCCCATTCTGAGGATTTTTCCATCTTGTTTATGATTTCCTTTGCTGTGCAAAGGCTTCTAAGTTAAATTAGTCCCAATTGTTTATGCTTCTTTTTGTTTTCATTACTTAGGAAGTGGCTCAAAGAGGATCTTGCTATGATTTATGTAGAAGCGTGTTCTGCCTATGTTTTCCTCTAAGAGTTGTATAGACTTTTGGTCTTACATTTAGGTCTTTAATGCATTTTGAGTTTATTTTTGTGTACGGTATTAGGAAGTGTTCCAATTTCATTTTTTTACATGTACTTACACTTGTCCAGCATTCCCAGCATGACTTCTGGAAGAGGCTGTCATTTCTCCATCATTCTGTGTTTCTGTTTTTGTGTCAGGATCATGCTCTTTTGTTTATTCATTTTTTCTGACAATGCAAGGGACTTTATTAGGAAGGGATGCCTGAGTGGAGAGCAGTAGGGTAAAGGAATCCAGGGGAACTGCTCTGCCACGTGGCTCACAGTCTTAGGTTTTATGGTGATAGTATTACTTTCCAGGATGTCTTTGGTCAATCATTCTGACTCCTTCCTGGTGTTTCCTGGTGGCACACGCATTGTTCAGCCAAGATGTGTGCCAGAAGGAAGGACCCTGAGAGGCAGTTGGACCTGTGAGTACCATGTTGTCTTGATCACTGTAGCTGTAGCGTACAGTTTAATGTCAGGAAAATTGATTCCTCCAGCTCCATTGTTCTTCCTCAAGATTGCTTTGGCTATTTGGAGTCTTTTATGTTTCCATAGACATTGTAAATCTTATTGTTCTAGTGCTGTGAAAAATGTCAATGTTAATTTGATAGAGTTTGCATTGAATCTAAATTACTTTGGTTAGTATACTCATTTTCACAATATTTATTCTCCCAGTCTAAGAAGATGGTATATCTCTCCATCTGTTTATGTCATCTCTGATTTTTTTTCACCAGTGTCTTAATTTTCTGCATACAGGTCTTTTGTCTCCTTGGTATATTCCTTGGTCTTTTATTTCATTTTATGTGTTGCAATAGCGAATGGAATTAATTCCTTAATTTTTCTTTCTGATTTATCATTGTTTGTATATAAGAATGCAAGGTATTTCTGTGTATTGATTTTTTTATCCTGTGACTTTATTAAATTCATTGATAGCCTCTAGTAATTTTCTGGTAGTGTCTTTAGGATTTACTATGTATAGTACCATGTCATCTGTAAACAGTGAGAATTTTACTTCTTTTTTCATCTAGATTCCTTTTATTTCTTTTTCTTCTCTGATTGCCATGGCTAGGACTTCCAAAGCTATATTGAAAAATAATGGTGACAGTGCGCACTCTTGACTTGTTCCTGATCTTAGAGAAAATGCTTTCAGCTTTTCACCATTGAGAATAATATTTGCTGTGGGTTTCTCATATATGGCCTTTATTAGGTTGACATAGGTTCTGTCTATGCCTATTTTCTGAAGAATTGTTATCACAAATGGGTGCTGAATATTGTAAAAAGCTTCTTCTGCATCTATAGAAAATATCATATGATTTTTATCTTTCAATTTGTTAATATGGTATGTAACATTGATTGATTTGTATATATTGAAGTATCCGTAGGATTAAACCCTAATTAATCATGGTGCATGATGTTTTTAACGTGTCATTGGATTCTGTTTGCTGGAATTTTGTTTAGAAATTTTTCATCTATGTTCACCTTTGATACTGACCTGTAATTTTCCTTTTTTGTGATGTCTTTTCCAGTTTTGGCATCAGAGTAATGGTGGCCTTCTAGAATGAGTTCATCAGCAATTTTTTGGGAAGAATTTAAGGAGCAACAGCTTTAACTCTTCTCTAAACATTTGATAGAATTCACTTGTGAAGCCATGTAGCCCTGGGTTTTGTTTTTGGGAGATTTCTTTTTTTATCACAATTGTGATTTACATGCTTGAGAGTGATCTGTTTGTATTTCTGTTTATTCCTTGTTCATTCTTAGAGGTTGTAATTTTCTAAGAATTTGTCCATTTTTTTCTAGGTTGTCCATTTTATTGGCATATAGTTGCTCGTGGTAGTCTCTTATGATCCTTTGTATTTCTGCACTGTCTGTTGCAATCTCTCATTTTTCATTTCTAATTTTGTTCATTTGAGTCTTCCTTCTTTTTATCTTGATGAGTCTGTCTAATGGTTTATGAATTTTGTTTTTCTTCTCAAAGAACCAGTTTTTAGTTTTATTGATCTTTGGCATTTTTCTTTCATTTCTTTTTTATTTATTTCTTTTCTCTTATGATTTATTTACTTCTACTTACTTACTATGCTTTTGTTTGTTTTTTGTTCTGTTCCCAGTTGCATTACGTTGTCTATTTGATATTTTTTCCTATCTCTTGAGATAGGATTGCATTGCTGTATACTTCCCTCTTAGAACTTCCCAATAGGTTTTGGGTCATCGTGTTTTCAGTGTCATTTGTCTAAAGGTATTTAAGAAATCTTTTTAGTAACCTATTGGCTATTAAGAAGTGTATTGTTTAAATCTCCATGTGTTTGTGCTTTTTTACAGTTTCTTTCCTATTATTAATATCAACTGTTATAGCATTGTGGTCAGAGAAGATACCTGTTACAATTTCAATTTTCTTAGATTTAGTAAAGCTTGATTTGTGACCCAAGATGTGACCTATCCTGAGAATGTTCCATGTGCACTTGAGAAGAAAGTGTATTCCAGTGCACTGGCTGGAATGCTCTGAAGATATCCATTAGGTTCATCTGATCTAATGTGTAATTTGTAGCTTGTGTTTCCTTATTAGTTTTCTGCCCGGAAGACCTGTCAATTGGTGGAAAAGTCCCCTACTATTATTGTGTTGCTCTTGATTTCCCTTTTATGTCTGTTAATGTTTGCCTTATGTGTTGAGGTGCTCCTATGTTGGATGCGTGACTATTTACAATGTTCTGTTTTCTTCTTGGATTGATAGCTTGATTATTATGCATCATCCTTCTTTACCTCTTGTAATGTTTTTTATTTTAAGGTCTATTTGTCTGATATGCGAATTGCTTATATGGTCTATTTGTCTGAAATGCGAATTGCTACTCTGGGTTTCTTTTGATTCCCATTTGCCTGAAATACAATTTTCTATCCTCTCACTTTCAATCTGTATGTGCCCCTAGGTCTGAAGTGGTTCTCTTTTAGAGAGCATGTATAAGGGTCTTATTTCTGTATCTGTTCAGCTAGTCTATGTCTTTTGGTTGAAGCATTTAACCCATTTACATTTAAAGTACTTATTGGTGTATATGTTTCTTTGGGCATTTCCTTAATTGTTCTGAGTTTATTTTTGTAGGTCTTTTCCTTCTCTTGGGTTTCCTGCTGTTAGAAATCCCTTTAGCATTTGTTGTATAGCTGATTTGGTGGTGCTGAATTGACTTTTGGTTGTCTGTAAAGCTTTAGGTTTCTGCCTCAAATCTGAATGTGATCCTTGCTGGGTAGAGTAATCTTGATTGTAAGTTTTTTCCTTTCATAATTTTAGATATATCTTGCCACTCCCTTCTGGCCTGCAGAGTTTCTGCTGAGAGATCAGCTATTAACCTTATATAGCTTCTCTTTATTTTACCTGTTGCTTTTCCCCTTCTTGCTTTTAGTATTGTTTTCTTTGGGTGTAATTTTTGTTAGCTTGATTAATAAGTGTCTCGATGTGTTTCTCCTTGAGTTTGTCTTATATGAAACTCTCTGTGCTTCTTAAACTTTTTTGGCCATTTCCTTTCCCATGTTAGAGAAGTTTTCAACTATAATTGCTACAGAATTTTTTCTCAGGCCCTTTCTTTCTCTCTTCTTCCTCTGTTGTTGTTCAGTCACTAAGTTGTATGCAACTCTTTGTGACCCCATGGACTTCTGCAGGCCAGGATTCCCTGTCCTCCCATTTTGTGTGGATCTACATTCCTTTCCAGAGGTCAGGGACTCCTGCCAGCACTCAGCTGGCGCTCTGTGGGATCTCCATCTGCAGATGTATTCCTGATGCATTGTGGACGGAGATGTACTCCACATCCACCAAGTCCTCTGCCATCTTGTCAGCTTCCCTGGGCTTGGTCTATTACTCCTTAAATGATGCATTCTCGCTGAGAGCTTTCATCACAGGGATGTTGTAGAGCAAGACTGTGAGAACTTAGCAATCAGGAGGACGATGAGCATACGAAAGGACCCATACACTCTGTCTCCTGTTCTCTTCCAGGGCATATGGGTCAGCACATACTTATTCACAGTATGTTTTGCTGCCAACATTGGGCTGCTGTTTGGTGTTGTGTGTACTGTAGCTATCGTGATCGGTCGCTTCCCAAGGTAAGATATTATTTAAATGCTGTTTATTCTGACACAGCAGCAAAATAAATGGTGTTGGCAGTTACTTTTATTTCTGTGGAATAGATGGTATTATAATCTCATGCTTTTAGATTTAAAGCTAGAAACAAAAGTTTTTATCTACATGTGATATATAACAATGTTAGTCTTAATGGAGAAGAAATGGCCTTAATGGAGGAGAAATATTTTGTTATAACTATAAAATAGAATATATAAAAACTATTAAAGTGAATTAATTAGCCTCATAGCCATATACTGCATTATAGAGTTACTTTTTTTTAATTAAGGGAATGAATATAGTCTCTAATGAGACCCAAACAATATAGCAGTGTAATCATTTGAAAAGTTAAATGGCTTCAATACATTTAATTTTTCTGAAGTTATATTAATTTAGCTACTTTTTCCAGATAACTTATTAAAAAGTGCATTGTTTTTGTTTTTTACTAAACATCTGTAAAGCATTCCATATTTTGATTATTTTTTTGTTTGCTCAGTGTTCAGCATCTGATAAAGCTTCCACTCATATCTTATCCTTCTTTTGAAATTCTTTGTGAAATAATGTACTCTTAAAAATTAAAGTTTTATCTCTATAGATTCAGTTGTTATAGAGTCTATCAGTGCAGTTCAGTTGCTGACTGATGTCTCATTCTTTGCAACCCTATGAACTGCAGCACGCCAGGCCTCCCTGTCCATCACCATCTCCCAGAGTTTGCTCAAACTCATGTCCACTGAGTCAGTGATGCCGTCCAACCATCTCATCCTCTGTCATCCCCTTCTTCTCTTCCTTCAGTCTTCCCCAGCATCAGGGTCTTTTCCAGTGAGTCAGTTCTTTTGAATGTTGAGTTTTAAGCCAGTTTTTTCACCCTCCTCTTTCACTTTCATCAAGAGGCTCTTTAGTTCTTCTTCACTTTCTGCCATAAGGGTGGTGTCATCTGCATATCTGACGTTATTGATATTTCTTCCAGCAATATTGATTCCAGCTTTTGCTTCATCCAGCCGGGCATTTTGCATGACGTAGTCTGCATAAGTTAAAAAGGCAGGGTGACAATATGCAGCCTTGGTGTACTTCTTTCCCAGTTTGGAGCTAGTCCATTTTTCCATGTCCAGTTCTGACTGTTGCTTCTTGACCTGCATACTAGAGGGTCGGGTCATGGTGGAGAGCTCTGACAGAATATGGTCCACTGGAGAAGAGAATGTCAAACCACTTCCATATTCTGGCCTTGAGAACCCCATGAACAGTATGAAAAGCCAAAAAGATATGACAGTGAAAGATGAACTCCGCAGGTCAGTAGGTGCCCAATATGCTACTGAAGAAGAGTGGGGAAATAACGCCAAAAAGAATGAAGAGATGAAGCCAAAGTGAAAACAATGCCCAGTTGTGGATGTGACTGGTGATGGAAGCAAAGTCTGATGCTGTAAAGAGCAACATTGCATAGGAACCTGGAATGTTAGGTCCATGAATCACGGTAAAATGAAAGTGGTCAAACAGGAGATGGCAAGAGTGAACATTGAGATTTTAGGAATCAGTGAACTATAATGGACTGAAATGGGTGAATTTAATTCAGATGACCATTATTATATCTACTACTGTGGGCAAGAATCCCTTAGAAGAAATGGAGTAGCCCTCATAGTCAACAGAAAAAGTCTGAAATGCAGTACTTGGGTGCAGTCTCAAAAATTACAGAATGTTCTCTGTTTGTTTCCAAGGCAAACCATTCAGTATCATAGGAATCCAAGTCTATGCCCCAACCACCAATGCCAAAGAAGCTGAAGTTGAACAGTTCTGTGAAGACATACAAGTCCTAACACCAAAAAAGATGTCCTTTCATCATAGGGGACTAGAATGTAAAAGTAGGAAGTCAAGAGATACCTGGAGTAACAGGCAGGTTTGGCTTTGGAGTATGAAATGAAGCAGGGCAAAGGCTAACAGTTTTGCCAAGAGAACGCATTGGTCATAGCAAATACCCTCTTCTAACAACACAAGAGACAATTCTACACATGGATATCACTGGATGGGCAATGCCAAAATCAGATTGATTATATTCTTTGCAGCCAAAGATGGAGAATCTCTATACAGTCAGCAAAAACAAGAGTGGGAGCTGACTGTGGCTCAGAACATGAACTCCTTATAGAGTGTCTCTCTCTCTCTCTCTCTCTCTCTCTCTATATATATATATATATATTCATTGTTATCTGATCCTATCTTGCTATTGATTTCCTCTTTACTTCCTGTATTTTACACAAGATTTCTGACAAACCATATATTTTCTAGCCTTTTCCCTCATTGCTCCCTCTTTTTTGTCAATTCACCTCCTACACCTTGAAGATATGATAGCTGGGAGTTCAGGTGAGATAAACTACATTTTAAAAATCTCAGTTTAGATGTCTGTGCTGTTACTTTATTTGTGAGGGTCCCAGAGAGATACACATTTACCAGTGTCTTATGAACAGTTGGGATGTAGTGTGGAAACCAGTCTAGATACTTTCTAATTGTTATAATGAAGTGACTCATCCTTTTTACTTCTTCATGGTTAATGTAGTAACTTGCAAATTATATATTTTATATATGCTTTCATTCTAGAGCAAAGACTCTGAGTACAAAAAATATGAAAGAAATGGAATTTAAAATGAAGACAGAAATGGATGATGTAAGTTTAGTTTCCTTTTCTTTTGTGTAATTAATAATTTTTGTAGGTCAGATAGTTTCAAGATATAAGAAGCAGATAAATTACTAATTTTAAAATGATAATTCTATTTTTGATTAGTTTGAACTTTTTTTTAATTTTAATTTTTATTTATTTTTGTTAGTTGGAGGATAATTACTTCACAACATTGCAGTAGGTTTTGTCATACATTGGACTTTTAATAGTATATGTGACCACTATATATATGGCAATCAACATGCAACAAATCAATAGAACAACAACAGAAATTTTGCATCAGCATTCAAATAATAGAATAACATGGTACATAAAAATACAGTTCACAGCAGAATCATGGTCCAGATTAGTTCAAGTATTTGGAAACCTCTTTTCCATCTGACATGTCTGTTAGTTTGTGTGTGTGTCACTTAGTTGTGTCTGACTCTTTGCGACCTCATGGGCTGTAGCCCACCAGACTCTTCTCCGTGGAATTCTCCGAGGATACTGGAGTGGTTTGAAATTTCCTTCTCCAGGTGATTTTCCTGACCCAAGGGTCTCCTGCATTGCAGGCAGATTCTTTACCATCTGAGCTATTAGTTTATATTGACATATAACAGTCAAACTAAACTAAGTCTATTCCAAATTAAATGATGGAGGAAGACAGGGAAGAGGGAAGGGAATAAAGAAAAGTAGGATCATGGTATTTGTTAACACAGTCAATGAATCTTATCAGTAGGGCGTAATTAACGACTCTAGGCTTGGTTTCTTGCACAGTGGACACCTTTTTAAGGAAATAACTTATTAAATTATCTCGCCCCCAGGTGGCGCTAGTGGTAAAGAACTCGCCTGCCCAGGCAGGAGACGTAAGAGACGCAGGTTCGATCCCTGGGTCTGAGATTCCCTGGAGGTGGGCATGGTAACCCACTCCAGTATTCTTTCCTGAGGAATCCCATGGACAGAGGAGCCTGGCCGGCTACAGTCCATAGGGTTGCACAGAGTCAGACACGACTGAAGAGGCTTAGCAGGCACACACGCAATCCATGTTTAGGCAGGCCAATTGTGTTTGACTTCTAGCTTCTTGTTCTGAAGGACGATACAAGTTTAAGGTGAAGAAAGAAAATGTTGACTGAAATTCTTGTCAATTAAAAAAATTGGCCTTACTTTGAAACTGCTTTGTGATGCTTGACTAACCTTTTTTATCTTTATTTTTCATTTTTACTTGTTTTAATACCTAATGATTGTCCTCAGAACAGAGAGAACTAACGTCCTAGAGAAGGATCAGTGTCAGGGTATTTCTGAGTAGACTGGAAGTAAAACGTAAGCAACAGGAGCCCTTCTCTGATACCCAGGGAAATGGCTTGTGTTTTTATTAGGTATGGAAAGATTTGCTTCACAGAAAGCTATCAGAGTTCAAAGACTTTGAAGGTGTCCCAGACTCAAGTTTTCCACCAATGTTACCTTTCTTTCTTTCCTGTCCCTTTCTTTTCTTCATTTAAATTTTTCAGGTGCTAAATCCCAGACTCAGGCCTCTGTGTATCCACCCCACACATGCAGCTGTGTGCCATAGTCTTGACATTCTTAGCTTTGAAGCAGAATTCAAATTTACCTATTTTTCAGTTTCAAGATCACTCATTATAAGCGGTACCTAATCCATACCTTCTCCTCAGGCTAAATGTATGAGAAAATGAATAAGGGGCTTTGCAGGAAGATGAAAGTGCCACAGTCTCTCCATGTCTTGCCCTTGATTTGTTCCAGTCTAGTTACCTACCCGAATAATAACTGTGCCACAGGAAATCTTAATTTTATTAGAATATTGCACCTCACTGGTTATTTAATGTTTTATATCAAAACTAAGAGGGAAAACACTAAGAGATTTGAATATGAACTCTTCGGTGGAGTTTTAAGCTAATGTCAAGTGTAGCGGTGATCTGTTCCTTCTCTCTCCCTCTCCTTCTTCATATGAAACAGTTTGGAAGGTCTCTTTCTATTCAGGGACTTCAACTCTATTGAGAATTTCTCTTCTGGCCCAACTCCATTCCTTAATAAAAGCTTATCTTTAAAAAGCACACTAACTTAAAACATGCTGGCCCAATCATATGGTGAGATTAATGAGACAATCTAAGATGCGGGAGATTTGTCATAACTAAACACAACAGGCCAAATGTTTTATTTTGTCTTTTAAGAGATTTCCTCTTTATTAAAAGTTCCTTTGGTAACGTAAAGGTTTTTATTTTCTTGAATTGTTTAGCTGTGATAAATGTCCTCACTGTCTGGAGCTCGAGCAGTTGTGTAGCTTTAGAAACTTTTTGAGATTATCCGGTTTAAAATGTCCCTGCTTAACTCTCACTACTCCAGTAGGGGAAGGAGGAGGAGGCCACGAGCAGAGTCGCTGGGGGTGATGGGGGCGGCTGTGGTTTCTGCGACTGCTGCAGCGCCGTCTCTGTGCTGCTGGGATGGGGAAGGACGTGAGGATCCCAGGGGGGCCAGCGGCCATGGGAAGGCGATGGCGGATCTAGATGAACAACACTGACAGCATCATCCCATGGCTGCTGCAAGGGAGAGGGTCCAAGCCTGGCAAGAATGTTCGGCTACAAGGGCATGAAATTGGAGGACTGTGGTTATTACAGTCCTGAGAGAGCTTTCTCAGTCAGCCTGTCCTACTAGGACTGGAAGCACCATTCAAAATACACGGTGATATCCATGGGCAATCCTATATGATTTGCTGTGACTTTCTGAGCACAGTGGTTTCCCTCCAGAAGCAATTACCTGTTTCCTGGGGACTATGTGAACAAGGGAAAGCAGTCATTGGACACTCTGCCTCTTACTGGCTTACAAAACCAAATATCTCTTGATTGTTTTGTTCTCAGAGGAAACCACGAATGTGACAGTATCAGTAGAATTTAGGGATTTTATCATGAATCAAAAGAAGATATATCGTTAAAGTATGGAAAACTTTCGCAGACTACTTTAACTGTTTATGGATAGCAGTCATCCTGGATGAGAAAATATTCTGCTGTCATGGAGGATTGTCGCCAGATCTCCAGTCTGTGGAGCGGATTTGGTGAATTATGCAGCCAATCGGTGACCCAGATCAAGATTGTCTTGGTGACCTTTTGTGGCCTGACCCTGATGAGGGTGTTTTTGGCTGGGATTTGAAAATGACAGAGAGTCGTGCTCTGCACTTGGTGCAGAAGTGGTTGCAGATCTCTCCGTAAGCATGATTTGGACCTTAGATGCAGAGCCCATTGAGTGTTTGAAGACGGATAGACGTTTTTGCAGAGAGACAGTTGGTCACTTTCTGCATCTGGTTATTGCGGAGAGCTTGGCAAGCAGGTGCCCTGATGAGTGTGGATGAGACACTGAGTGTTGTCTTCAGAGTTTACAGCCTGCAGAGAAAAGGCAGTGCCGTGAGACCTGAAGTGCCTCCAAGGGCTATGATCACAAAGCGAGCAAGGAAATAGATGTCATTTTGACACTGCCTACTTGGGACTTGTAACATATATAGCTTTTATTTTCAAAGCTGTAATGTGTATTGGTCAGCTTACTTAGATAATGTTTGTGGGCCCCCGTTCCATTTTTTTTTACTTTATCAATAGTATTTGTTGATTTTAACAGCAAATAAAAGATTCCCCACTCTCAAGGAAAGATGTTTTATTTTGTTTAGTTCTCTGTTCCTTTTGCAAACAATTTTAATGATAGTGTAAAGCTGTACACCCCAGGACAGTTTATCCTGACTAAGGGGTTAGTGTACAATTGATCTTTCTTTACGTTTGGTACAGCCCATGAATAATGTAAATACCCATTTTTTTAGGATATAAAGAGAGATCTAGGGTGTTCAGTTTGTACGTTATTGTCATAACAGGCATACTGTTGGATACAAAACACCATGAACTTTTTGTTTGCTTGCTTCAAAGAAATTGCTCTTTTTCTTGTCATGTACAAACTAGTTTTTAGAGTTATGAAAATTAGGAATAGCTTTCAACCTTGCCAGCATCACTTGTATGTATATTTAATTAAAGTACACTTTCCCCTGTGATACACTTAAAATGACAATTAAAACCATTGTTTTAAATGTTTGTGATTCCTTGCTAAAACCAAAGTTTCTATTGAAATATAAATGGACACTCTCCTAAGTACAAGGTGACATGATTGTGTATGCCTGCCGCTTTCTTGGGGATTCAAAAATAGGTTTTTAAGTTTGAATAACAATTAATAACATAAGGCTGTTTACACTACTAATGATTAAAGTTAATAACATTTGTACTATTTTCAGTCTATTCATTAAATAATCTTTTTATAGTTACATCAGGACTGAACCTGTCCATTCAGAAAGCTTCAAATTATAAAAACAATACTGTTCTGTATGTGTGACTGATTATGCCTTCTTTGGCCTATGTTCTTTATTCTGTGATGAAGTTGAAGCTTATAAGTCAAAACAAAGGAACTTAACTTACAGAACTCACAGTATCTATGACTTTTTAAAACTAATATCTGTTTAAAAAAAAAGAAAGCAGTTTCAACAGATGACCAGGTACAATACCATGTGGGAAAAATGAATTCAGACTTATTTAATGATGAACTTGTTAAAAAAATTACCTACTTTAAAAAACAAGGAAGCTAAGAGAGGTTAAATGAATTATCCAAATTCACAGTATCTATTATTTTCCAATCTTTCTATCTCCGTCTGTATGTGTCTGAAGGAGTACTGCTTTATTTAGTTGGTGAGGAATTAACATTTCATAGAGCTCACATTTCTCTCGGCTTCTAAGATAGGCCCCTGCTCCAAAGGTCATGGTGCTGTGGTCCGCTTAGTCACTCATCACGTCTTACTCTTTGTGACCCCATGGGCAGTAGTCCGCCAGGTTCCTCTGTCCATGGCGACTCTCCAGGCAAGAATACTGGCGTGGTTTGCCATGCCTGCCTTCAAGGGATCTTCGCAACCCAGGTCACCCACATTGCAAGTAGATTCTTTACCATCTGAGAAGAGGGTATTGCCAGGAAGACCTGGGCAAATGGCTGCAGTAGACAAATTTTGTATTGAAATTTCTCCTTCTCCATTTCTTCATGTCTTGCCTACATCCTGGCAATCTAATATAATCTAGGCCTGCCCAAAGTGAAAGTACCTTCCTGATAATACCTCTTGGTTTCTTTCTCCCAATTAGAACTATCAATCACTTGTAAGGTGACTTCCAGGCAAAGGAAGGCTATGGAATAAGGGATATTTTCTGAAAGGCTACAGACTTATCTAATGATTGCTAAAGTTTCTTAGTAAAGAAGAAGTACATATTTTCCTTGAGAAGTATAGTAGTATATTAAGTCCTCCGACAATTTTTAATAATGAAAACATCAGCAAAGAAATTTTCAATCATGATTGAGTGACAGTTGGACTTACAGGGTTTCAATTCATTGTAGGATTTATTTCATTCAGAACTCTGAATCTGTTCATTTCTTTTTTTCTCTCTCTCTCTAAAAGGAAACCCTGCAGCAGGTGAAAATTATCTCAATAAACAACCCGCTTGTTTTTCTGAATGCAAAGAAATTTCATACTGATATAATGAACATAATCCAAAAAGAAAATACTGGAAACCAACCACTTGATGAAATCAGAAAGGTAAGGTCAACTCTTTTGATTATATTATGCTATAGGTAATCCTATATCTTGATACCCCAAAAAGGAATCATGTAAATATAATACATTGTAAAAATGTTTAGAGGCCTCTTCCCTCAGTAAAAGCTTATATTATGTTGTAGTTTTTATCTGGTTTGTAGTTAGCTTTTAGGTAATTGTTCTTGTTCATTTGTTTGTTCATTCACTCATTAATTCATCATGTATCTAAAGGACATGCGTGTTGTGCTGTTCTGTGCTTAGTCTCTTAGTTGTGTCCAACTCTTTGCAAATCCAGGCTCCTCTGTCCATGGAATTCTCTAGGCAAGAATACTGGTGTGGGTTGCCATGCCCTCCTCCAGGGGATCTTTCCAACCCAGGGATCGAAGCCACGTCTCCCACATTTCAGGCAGGTTCTTTACTAGCTGAGCTATCAGGGAAGCCTATGTTCTAGGTGCTATAACCCTGGGAGGAATAAATAAGACAATTCACTTAAAGCATATTTTTACCCAGCGAAAGAAGAGTTAGGTCTACCTCTAAAAGAGAATATAGCAGATGACTCAAAGAGGTATAAACTGTTGGCCTCATTGTGATAACATTGTCTTAAATTGCCATCATTTTTTATCTCCACATATTATCTCAGTTAACAGAGATAGCAAATAAAATGTGCATGAGAAAGAGTTTATGCATAATCATTTGAATCCTTAAGCCCTCTGCAATGTTAAGAGCATAGACTTTGGAGCTAAGCTGTCTGGGTAAGCCACTTAGAAGCTACTAGACCTTCAGTTCAGTTCAGTTCAGTTGCTCAGTCATGTCCGACTCTTTGAGACCCCATGGACTGCAGCACGCCAGGCTTCCCTGTCCATCACCAACTCCCGGAGTTTATTCAAACTCATCCATTGAGTCGGTGATGCCATCCCACCATCTCATCTTCTGTCGTCCCCTTCTCCTCCTGCCTTCAATCTTTCCCAGCATCAGGGTCTTTTCAAATGAGTCAGCTCTTCGCATCAGGTCGCCAAAGTATCAGACCTTAACCAAATTATTTAATCTTTTCTATTTAAGTTTTCTAATCAGTACTACCAATAATTAAATATGTTAATATATGCAAAGAAGTTAGATAGTGCCTGGCCTACTTAATACTATAAATCTTAGCTAGTCTTACTGGTTTAATTGAGTACAAATAATACGCTCTGAATGAAGAGTTTCTTGACTATCGTAGGTCACGAAGTCCTCCTCTTTCTCTGATACCCTTGAGTGTATGCTATCTTTCTGTCAGTCAGATGCATAGGAGACCACTCCTCTCATTTCTGGTGTCTCAGGGACTAATTCTACATCCCTGTCTCTGAAGCTTGACGTGTCTACCCCAGGCCTCATGTTCCACATCCCTGTCTCTGAAGCTTGACGTGTCTACCCCAGGCCTCATGTTCCACATCCCTGTCTGTGAAGCTTGACGTGTCTACCCCAGGCCTCATGTTCCACATCCCTGTCTCTGAAGCTTGACGTGTCTACCCCAGGCCTCATGCTGATCCACACTGCAGAGACCCTAGACATAAGATTGGATATGAAATTTGCTGGGCACAGTTCAAAATGAAAGTGTGAAGCTCTTTGTTCAGCACCTGTTAGGAATTTCAAAATGGTGACAGCACAGCATTAATCCAAATGAGAGACCCTTCTAAGCTTGAGGTCTTATGTGACTGCGCAGGACTCTGGCCCACAAAGATGGCTCTGCCTGTATATCTCCGGACCTTCTTTACCGCTCACTGAGCTCTTTTAGATGTCACTTTCATTGGAATATTAGGAGCCACTGCCTGTGATTTGGGGTTGAAAAGAACTTGCTCTTATGCTAAAGGGGGAGATATATACCAAATGATTCAAGTTGTATTACTATATTAGGCCTGTTTTTAATCACAAAGCCATTCTATACCTGTATATGAGACAGGTATGTTCTTGTAGCTGACTTTAAGCTCATAACCATGTATTTGAAGCTTGACGTGTCTACCCCAGGCCTCATGTTCCACATCCCTGTCTCTGAAGCTTGACGTGTCTACCCCAGGCCTCATGCTGATCCACACTGCAGAGACCCTAGACATAAGATTGGATATGAAATTTGCTGGGCACAGTTCAAAATGAAAGTGTGAAGCTCTTTGTTCAGCACCTGTTAGGAATTTCAAAATGGTGACAGCACAGCATTAATCCAAATGAGAGACCCTTCTAAGCTTGAGGTCTTATGTGACTGCACAGGACTCTGGCCCACAAAGCTGGCTCTGCCTGTATATCTCCGGACCTTCTTTACCGCTCACTGAGCTCTTTTAGATGTCACTTTCATTGGAATATTAGGAGCCACCGCCTGTGATTTGGGGTTGAGAAGAACTTGCTCTTATGCTAAAGGGGGAGATATATACCGAATGATTCAAGTTGTATTACTATATTAGGCCTGTTTTTAATCACAAAGCCATTCTATACCTGTATATGAGACAGGTATGTTCTTGTAGCTGACTTTAAGCTCATAACCATGTATAACAGCATTATGGGAAAATCTGTCTAGAGCTTCATGTAATCTAGTTAACCTACAAGAAACTTGTGGTCTTATTTTTCCAAAATGTAAGCTTACTTCTTGAAATAATATACTAAATTGTGGGCTTTATCATTTCTAGTAGAGAACCTGACATGGGAATTCTTACAACTAATTATTTATCAATAGTTGATAGTGTTTTCCTTATTTTCCTGCAAGATTAAGATTGCTCCAACTTGTTTTCAGAAATTACAAAATGACATGTGTTTACCTTTAGTATATCTTAGAAACAAATCTCATTAACACAGTCTTCTGTGAGAAGTTTCCACATATATGATTTTACCTACTTGGGATTTCAGAAAATTGAGTCTAAAAATCAAACAGGGTTCATTGAATTTAGGTTATTAGTAGATGATGTCACTCAAAAGGATTCTTCAACTCAGAACTTTATGATGGTGAGGAAGAATTTGTTGAAACTGAGTTCCACTATAATGATAATGATGCAAATATTGCATGTATATTTGTATGCTGTGAATTTTAAAGGAACTCCAAGGATTCAGATGGCAATTTTGAAGCTCTGCTCTCAGAGGAACCTGTGATAAACCTTTACTTGGAATGACTAAAAGGATAGTCTTGAGCTTGAGTGCTCTTTGGGGCATTTCGTATTATTCTTGTCAGACACTATCACGGATGTCTACTTGTCTTGAGGACCGTGCACTTATTCCAAGTTCAGTTTTAGAGTAAGACGTCTGCATCAGTTGCTCTCTCCTGCAGCGCTGCCTCCCTTTATCAGCCTGCACAAAGCGGTTCACGGTTGTGCCCGGCACTGGAGTGCTCTGCCGGGGCCTCGATCTTCTCTTCTCTGACAGCTGCGTTTTCAACAGATGGTGGTGATGGAAGGACATTGAAAACACTCCAGAGCAGGAAGATTCACATCCCATTCAAAACAAGAATTGAAAAAGTGCCCTCTGTTAGGTTATATAATGATATGCTTTTATATTGCTATACTTACTGTATGCTCAGTCGTGTCCAACTCTTTGAGACCCCATGGACTGTAGCCCGCCAGGCTCCTCTGTCCACAGGATTTCCCAGGCAAGAGTACTGGAGCAGGATGCCATTTCCTACTCCAGGGGTTCTTTCTGACCCAGGATTGAACCCGCGTGTCTTGTGACTCCTGTATTGGCAGGCGGATTCTTTACCACTGAGCCTGTGTATCACCATTAAATATCACCCTGAATGCAGAAGCTTAGAAGGATCTCAGGCTGCTAGTGTTTGATGGATTTGTGCTCGCTATTATATAGAGCTATGGGTATTCACTATTTGTTACCATTTTGTGCTCTCATTTTGCAAAAGAAGTTTCAATCTACCATTTATCTAAAGTTTTCTTTTGCTCAGACAAGATGTTTTTCAAAACTACACTTTGTTTTTGGAACAGTTTTTTAGATTTACAGAAAAATCGAGTAGTTAGTATACAGAGTTCCTGTATATAGAGAGAGTTCCTATATGTACCCCACATGACACAGTTTCCTCTATTATTAACATCTTGCATTAGTGTGATATATTTATTAAATCAATCAACCAATATGGATACATTATCATTAAGTAAAGTCCATGCTTTATCTGGGCTTCTCAGGTGGTGCTAGTGGTAAAGAACCCATCTGCCAATGCAGGAGACTTAAGAGATGTGGGTTCAGTCTTTGGGTCAGGAAGATCCCCTGGAGGAGGGCATGACAATTCACTCCAGTGTTCTGGCCTGGAGAATCTCATGGAGAGAGGAGCCTGGCGAACTATAGTGCATAGGGTGGCATAGAGTCGGACAGGACTGAAGCGATTTAGCACACATGCTTTATTTAGATTTACGTAGTTCTACCTGATATCCTTTCTCTGCTCTAGAATTCCTTCCAGTATATCATGTTACATTTAGTTGTCCTGTTTCCTTTTGACTGTGACAGTTTCTTAGGCTTTCCCTTTATTGAATGGTCTTGACACTTTTGAGTTGTACTGGTTAGATATTTTGTGGAATGCCCCTCTGTTGAAATTATCTCTTATTTTTCTTGTGATAGCACTGGGGATATGGGTTTTTTAAGGAGGAAACCATAGAGGTGAAGTTCCATTTTCATCACATTGTATCAAGGGTACATAATATCAACATTATTTCTCATTGTAGATATTAATCTTGATCTTCTGGATGAGGTAGTATTTATCAGGTTTCTCTCCTACAAAACTACTTTCTTTCGGCTTTTGCATGCTGTACTCTTTGAAAGCGAGTCACTGTGTGCAGCTTGTATTTAGGAAAAGTGGAATCATGCTCCACCTTCTTGAGGGTGGAGTATTTATATAAATAATTTGAAATTCTTCTGCAGAAGGGATTTCTGACAAAGTATTTTTAAGAGGAGGGAAAGGAAACTCACATTCCTTGACTGTCTTTCAGGGGCTCATCTCTTTACCTGGGCTATCTAACATACTTGTCGTCAGCCCCATGATGTAACTGACTTTACCTGAATGTTACAAAAAGAAAAAAAAAAGGATTGAGACTTAGAAATGTAAAATAACCTGGGGGAAATTATTTGGTAACTGTCAGAATCAGACTTAAAATACATAAGCTGGGCCAGTGGGTGCAGTACCAGTGGCTTCCCAGGTAGCGCTGCTAGTAAAGAACACACCTGCCAGTGCAGGGGACTTAAGAGACGTGGGTTCGATCCCTGGATGGGGCTTGATCCCTGGGTTCCAGGATCCCTTGGAGAAGGGCATGGCAACCCACTCAAGTATTGCCTGGAGAATCCCATGGACAGAGGAGCCTGGTGGGCGACAGTCCATAGGGTCGCAGAGTTGGACATGACTGAGTGGCTAACACACACACAGTGGGTATTAAAAAGGGAAATTGATATTCTATGATCACCCTCCAAGATGAAAACTGATTTCATGGGAAAGTAGTATAATGTAGCAGTCTGGAGCAAGAGGTACAGAGTTGAAAGACATGAACTTAGGTTTTAACTTAATTCTTGCTACCTTTGTGATTTTGGTCAAATTATTTAACCATTTCAATCATTAGAAGTCTTCCAAATTTAAAAATTTTCCAACTTTCAAATGGAAAATGATATCAGTAACTTCGCAGGATTATTCTGATAATTAAATGATTAATGTAAAGTTCTTAGGATACAGTAAGTAGTAAGTACTCAAGAAATAACAATTGCTATCATCATGAACAGTAACAACAATAAGTTTTTGAGAAGTATATAGCCTGTTATAATTTTAGAGGCATCAATTATTTTTAATTTCAAAAAGTTTAATTGTAGGATATAAAGTCATTTTTCATTCTCTAGCATTTCCATAAATCAGGAATCTCTTTTTCTTAGACATTTTCATGAAACTTCAGATGAACAGCTAATTTTTTAAAAAATTATTTGTTTTTATTGAAGTATAGTTGATTTACAATAATTCGTTAGTTTCAAGTGTACAGCATAGTGATTCAGTTACACATACGTTATATCATTTTTTTATGATTCTTTTCCCTTATAGGTTATTACAAAATATTGAGTATAGTTTCCTGTACTATACAGTATGTCTTGTTTATCTATTTTATATGCAGTAGTGTGTGTATGTTAATCCAAAACTCCCTCCCCAACCCTTTTCCCATTGGTAACTGTAAATTTGTTTTCTACGTCTGTGAGTCTGTTTTTGTTTTGTATGTAAGTTCCTTTGTATCATTTTTTTAATTGGATTCCCTGTGTATGTTATATTATATGATATTTATCTTTCTTTGTCTGGCTTACTTCATATTACTCAGCCATAAAAAATACAATACTGCCATTTAGAGCAACATGCATGGACCTCATACTAAATGAATAGCTGACTTTTGTATAATATGAAATGCGTTTGGTGGCTCTCTCTTTGAGAGTGCTGTGTTAATGAGGTTAATTTCTGATTGGATACATTTATGAAAGACACATGTAAATGTTCACTTCCTGATATAAAAATCAAAACAATCTTGTAAAAAATGTTCTAAAAAGGAGAGTCTGACTTGATAAATCATCAGCTGAGCTAACATAAACTTAGGACTTACTATTTCAGTTTGTTGTATTTATCATTCTGAAAAAAGGGCTTGGGAAAATAATTATTGGAGACCATTTTCTGTTGGTGTTATTATGGAGAGAAGAATGATGTTCTTTTTTAGGGCAGAAATGAATTTTTATAATGTTGTTCATCTTTTTATGTGTTTTTATTTCAGCATGAACAAAGCACATTGCTCACTTCTCTGAGTGGCATTTGCAACGGTGAGTTAGGGGAAAGGAAATGTAAGTGCTCTNTCTCCCTCCCCTCTCCCCGCCTCTGCCTCTCCCTCCCCTCTCCCTGCCTCCCTCTCCCTTCTCCCCCTTCTGCTCTTTCTCTCCTCATTCTCCTGCTCTGTCCTCCCCTTCCTCCCCCTTCTCTTCTTTGTCTTCCTCCTCCTGGTTTATTTTAGAGGTTAATTTCAGACGTGTCAGCCTACAAAGAATGAAGGTATAAAAATTTATTATGAGACATTATGAATACCTGAAACACTTAAACTAATGGTGTTTTTTAAAATGGAAGGAAATAGAATGTCCATCAATCAGAATACACAATGTTGAAAAGATGTCAATTCTCAAATTTCGTTATAGATATAAATTGAATCACAATTAAAATTCTGATAGGACTTTTTAATGGCAGTTAATAAACTCATTCTAAATTTTGTACAAAACTCAAATGGCCAAGAACAACCATGACTATTGAACTATATGAACAAGAGAGAGAGCTTGTTTTCTTATGTATGTATAAATGTATTATAAAGTTCTAATAATCAGTGTAGTGTGCCACCACTTCAGAGATAAATGGACAGGTCAATAGGACAGAGCAGAGAGCACAAAAGTGAGGAAAACTCACATATATTGGTGTTTTACTTGTGACAAATGTGGCACTGCAGAGCAGTGAGCCAAAGACTGTGATTAATGTACAATGATGAGACAATCACACCCCCATAATGAATGGAATTGGACCTTCATCCCATCCCATCCCATCCCCCAAATCAGTACCAGCTCAAAGTCTTAAGAGTGGTAGGCAAATTATAAATTTAAAAGAAAATATAGGAGAATATGTACAAGAAATGTTAAACATTATCATTAAACTTCACTAGATTATAAAGAGTTTTGTTTACCAAATGACATCATATGAAGCCTGAAAAGATAAGCTAGGGTAAAAGAAAATAGACGTAATTTATAAAATGGAGAAAGAATTGTACTCCCCAACATATGAAGGAGTAAAAATGGCAGATGACCCATTAGAAAAATGCGCAAGAGACATGAACAGGCATTCCACAAAAAGACATTTTCAAATTTACTAATAAGCATATGCAGATATGCTTACTTAGACTCACTGATGCTATTCATAATACTTGGGGAAATCTAGATTAACTTCACAATAAATAACACAATATATATGATTGATAGTTTTTAAAGTCTGACAATACCAAGTATTGGTGAGGATGCAGAGCAGCAAAAAGTCTCTTGCAATGCTAGGGGGAGTGTAAACTGTAACAACTACCTTGGAAAACAGTTTGGTAATATCATATAAAACTGAAGATACACAAGATACACAAACCAGCAATTCCACATCCAGTTTACATTCTAACAAGTTACATAAACAAGAATGTTCGAACAGTATTGTTTTTAACTATCCAAAGCTGGAAACAGTTCATATTTAAAAAAAAAAAAAAAAAATTAGCTGGTATGTATAAGTATGGAATATTTATACATTTGAATTTTTAGTTGATATATTTATTATATGGTATACATATACAATAATGAAAACTACATGTCTTATAAACGTAATTGGACCAAAGTGAAAAGGCAAAGGAAAACATAAATTCTATTATATAAACTTAAAAAAAGAAAGCAGGAAAAGCTGACATACTGATTTTAGCTCTTCTAAAGACAATAAAAAAGGGAGCCTCTTAATATCTGCANCATTTTTTTTTATTAGTTGGAGGCTAATTACTTTACAATATTGTAGTGGTTTTTTCCATACATTGACATTAATCAGCCACAGACTTACATGTGTTCCCCATCCCGATCCCCGCTCCCGCCTCCCTCCCCATCCCATCCCTCTGGGTCTTCCCAGTGCACCAGCCCTGAGCACTTGTCTCATGCATCTCACCTGGGTATTGTACTTATTTAATGGTTGTTTCTTGCAAGTCTTTCTCTTCTGCTAGTCTGATAAGTTTACAAGGGCATTGTCACCTCTGCATCCCTAGATCAGGCCCACTTTGCAGGGAGCAGTAGCTGATCGACATGGGCACCCTTGCTATGTCCGTGGGAAACCTTTGGTGCCCAGTTACCCGTGTATACAGTCAGGACTGGCTGCCCAGAGTGTTTTCCTGGCATCCTCCTCCCTTCTGGCACTCCAGAGTATCCTGAGTCCCCCTCCCTCTCTCATTCAGGGGCAGCATCCGGCTGTCCCTTCCCTGTACTTTAAATGCTCAGGTTTCTTTTCTGCTCATGTTTTTGACTTCCTCTCAAAGTTTAAATAGTAAAACCTGTAACTCTAGGTTCTGTTGTGTTTACATTTTCACTTCTGTTACTCTGATTCTGTCCTTAACCATATTCAGGTAATGAGTGATGACTGAAAGATGAATCAGTTTGACTTTCCTATTTTTTTTTTTCTGCTATGAGACAGTCTTGGTCTTACTCCATGAATAGAGAACACCCAGTTTCCTGTGATTACAGAAGATAAAATTAATCGATCAAGGCACTTCCTCCTGTGAGCCAAAGTAACCTGAGGCTCTTCTGAACAGGGAGCTCTAATAAGCTGTTACAAATGGCTAGTGTTGACTGGGAATTGGTGATGGACAGGGAAGCCTGGCATGCTGCAGTCTATGGGGTCACAAAGAGCCTGATGTGGCTGAGCAACTGAAATGAACTGAACTGAACTGACACACACTGAGATGCAGTTGCCATCCTAGCTTTACTATGATGACACTTAATCTTAAATAATCTTTAAAAAAAGCCAAAGACTTCTTATGCATTAGAGATCCCTTCAGAAGATCAAGTGCGCAGTCCTCAGCTTGACACCTAAAACCCTTCCGTATCTTCTCAAACTGATTTCCCTTTTACTACACATTGCACAGGTTCTCTATGCCAGTCAGATGAATCAGTTTTCATGGCTCCTACATCCAATTTAATCATTCCTGGATCTAATTCTTTTTTTAAAAAATTTATTTTAATTGGAGGCTAATTACTTTACAATATTGTGGTGGTTTTTGCCATACATTGATGTGAATCAGCCACAGGTGTACATGTGTCCCCCATCCTGAAGCCCCCTCCCACCTCCCTCCCCATCCCATGCCTCTGGACTGTCCCGGTGCACCTGTATCTAATTCTTTATTCATATTCTCCCTTCTAGAACCATCTACTTGTTTGCCAATCCAAATATTATACTTTCCTCAAGGTTTAATAGAGAAGAAAAGTAAGTCAAAGGGACATATTCTTTGGCAAACTCATTAGGTAGAAAAAGAAGTCAACCAGATCCATAGAGGCAAAAACACAACAATGAAGTGCCACTTAGAATTCAGTTCCTTCAGCTGTAAAATGGAAATTGTAGTAACTTGGAGAAATTACCACATGCCTCACTCAATCACATATCACTTTATATAGTTACAAAATTGTTTTATTCATGCACATTTTCCTCCTAATTAGATTTTTAAGGGAAGAGATGCATTTTAATGTTGATTGCATTATCCTTCGTTGTCCAATGAATACTTGGTCAGTGAATGAAAATTAACACTGCTAATATTTGTATAGCACTTTCAAGGTTTCAAAGCATATTCTTCTAAATAGATGAAATAGATAACTGGTAATTGTCATTTTCAAATAGATAATAGGATACTCTTAGTTTTATTGATGAAGTTGAGGCCCACTTTTGCCTTCTGAGGTGGTCTGTATGCTGCGTATTGAATGTGAATGTGTATCTCTCTAAATAAACTTACTTTCACTTAAAAAAAATTGAGGGCTTAAATAACTAACTTGCTTAGGATCATGCAGTTGGTTAGGAACAGAGGAGGACCTCAAGGCCCCTTTGAAGGCCAATGTGTATAGCAAAGGGTGCTTAAAGCTGAGATTCGAGAGTTCGGAGCCAGATGCAGTCTGCAGAAACACAACCAAGAAGGGTGGGCTGGTGCTAATCCAGAGGAAAGGAGGTGACAGTGAGTGGCACTCTTCTCTGCTTTGATTGTAAGCTTGTGAAAATGGAGACGAATATGGACTTAAAAGAAATTTCAGTATGTAATTAACATAACTAGCACTGTTTGGGTATTGAGGGAAGGAGGAGGGCAATACAAATGATGATTCAAAACTCTGAAACTCTCAAACTGGGATAATATGAAATCCAGGAGGGTAGCTAAAAGGAAAGGGAAGTTTATTTTAGAAGATGGTGAATTTATGATACTGGAAAACCTTCCAGGAGATATTTTAGGGTTTTGGGGACCATTGAATAAATCTGGAAGTAACTAAAGCAAAGGGAAATATTAGCTGGGTGAGGGAGTAGGAAAGAAGAAAGAATAAATAATACCCACTCCTGTAAACAATCTTTACAGAAGAGAAAGAATTGATTGAATAAACTAAATAAACTTACAAACCATGTAAATAATAAGATGAAAGTCATCATATTTTTCTGAATGAAAACAAAAATCACTCAAATGCGAAGAAATTTCCCATTACCATGTTCAGTAAATTGTGTTCCAAAGCGCTTCAGTCACATTGTGCCGTTACCAAGAGGCACTCTGTCAACATCTTTCTCAGCATCGTGATTTTTCAGGTTCACCTCCACCACCTTCTTACCTGCTTCCCTTCAAATTATCCTCCAAGTCTCAGCTTCCTTGTCCCATTCTTCCTTTCATTCCTGTGTTAATAAATGTCCTTGTTCACTTAGCAAATCTTTCTTGTATTTAGTGAGCATTTACTAAGTCCTAGGCACAGTGGTGGGTGCTATATGTTCAAGGATGAGAAAGCAGGCATGACTTCTGTCATCACAGGTCCTGAAGCCTAAATTGGTTCCCCTGCCACAACTGCCCCCATCCTCATCCTGTACTTTGGAGGCTACAGGGGAGAATCCTCTTACTTCCTTACCCTTTTCAGCTTCTAGAGGCCATCCACATCCCTCGGGTCATATCCTTTCCTCTATCTTCAAACCAGCAGTGTTGACATCTTCAAACTTCTCTCTGACCTCTTCTTGCATCACCACTTCTCCTTCTTTGCCTCTTCCCCTCCTGCTTTTTTACCAAGAGGCACTCTGTCAACATCTTTCTCAGCATCGTGATTTTTCAGGTTCACCTCCACCACCTTCTTACCTGCTTCCCTTCAAATTATCCTCCAAGTCTCAGCTTCCTTGTCCCATTCTTCCTTTCATTCCTGTGTTAATAAATGTCCTTGTTCACTTAGCAAATCTTTCTTGTATTTAGTGAGCATTTACTAAGTCCTAGGCACAGTGGTGGGTGCTATATGTTCAAGGATGAGAAAGCAGGCATGACTTCTGTCATCACAGGTCCTGAAGCCTAAATTAGTTCCCCTGCCACAACTGCCCCCTAGACAAGCTGTACTTTGGAGGCTACAGGGGAGAATCCTCTTACTTCCTTACCCTTTTCAGCTTCTAGAGGCCATCCACATCCCTCAGGTCATATCCTTTCCTCTATCTTCAAACCAGCAGTGTTGACATCTTCAAACTTCTCTCTGACCTCTTCTTGCATCACCACTTCTCCTTCTTTGCCTCTTCCCCTCCTGCTTTTCTGTGATAAGAACCCGAGTAACATTGGACTTCCCCCCACACAGGGTAATTCAGGATAATCTCATTCAGGATTGTTAATTTAATCAAGTCTGCACTATTCCTTTGACCATGTAAGGCAACATATCCCACAGGTTCTATTATTAAGCTATGGACATCGCTGGGGGTCATTTTTCTGTCTACAATACCAGGTCTATCCTGTACCTCATGAGTGCTTTCTGCTTAACTTTCAGCCTTGGTAACACTTTAGATTACTAGTTCAACTGACTGGTTTCTCAGCTTACTTGTGAGTCTACTGAGAGTAGAGACCATTATCTCGCTTGTCCGTCATTCTACTTGTATTTCTTAGGACAGTGCTTAGAGTAAGCACACACCACATCTATATTAACCAATTGTTTGAATGAATGAATAAAACAGATAATTTACACAATCATGTGCATACATGTTTTCCAAAGATAGTGTTTTGGTTTGTCCTAAATATTTCTGATTCCTTATTTTCTTGAGATGTTAGAGATATAAATCTGTTTCTCAATAATTACTTGATATCAACAGAAAATGCCTTCTTTTAAAAAATTATGAGTGATTCACAAACTGCCAGAAACCCTTTGAAGTATAAAAAAAGCACCCCTAAATTATGCATCTATGAATACTTTTTAATTAAACAAGTTAATGAATATTCCACAGGAGAGAACTGACTTGCACAGTCTGGAGTTAATCACCCACCCACACCTGATGGTTAATTTCTTTCTTTAGTTTTCTTTGATTTTTGTAGATAAAGCCCATCATTTACCACATCCCCCATGAGTATATATTAGTTATCTCCTTTGCACATGCTCCAAGCTTACCTCATTTTGCTTAACGCCTATTAGCTGTTCATTCAGTTTTCTACAACAATATGAATTTTATTGCACTGATTGATTTACTTAGAAGCTTAGACCATAAGTATATATTAATAGTCATAAAATCAGCACAATGACAGAACTGAGAGGATACTATATAAAAGAAAACTTCACTTATTTTTGGAAAAATTTCAGAAATGCCCATTGTATTTAAATTTTCATTTGAGGGAATTGGTAGCTTTGCCATTAACAATGTCTTTTTTATTTACAAAAAAAAAAAAAATGAACTGCTTCTCTTAAAAAAAAAGCTTACTTAAATTATTATCCACAACTACATGGCACAATTCTTTTGTTTTATTTCTTTTGGACAGTCTGAAAATGTGCATACATTTTGATTAAAGGAACACAAAAGAGGAACCTCAGATGTAAAAATGAAGGACAAAGTAAGCACATTCTGAAACAAAAGAAAAATTTTTGTTTCACTATTGATTAAACCCAAACATTTTTAGTTAGCAATCTGTCATCACTTAAATTATGAAATAATTACAAGAAAATATAAAGAATGGCAAGTATAATTTATAAGTGAAATTAAATAGGATAGAAAAGAAAAAAAACACCTTCTTTCTTAAATAATTTTCTGTATCCTTTTACCACCATTTCCTAGTCATTTAGATTAGTGATCAATCTCTCTAAAGAATATGCATAGTTTTTTCACTGGATTATTAAGTTCAGATTGACAAGTAAAATTGCTTATGAACTAGTAGTGACTTTCTGAAACACTGAATTGATAGAAATTCTAGGGTATTCTTTGAACTGACTGGGAAAAAGTACCATGATTGATTAGCCATGTTTGGCTTGTTAAAGAATACGGGATGATAGAATGCATGTCATAAATTTTGTTGCAGATAATAATTTATGTACCTCCTTCATGAAAAGCAATTATAAATAAAATAGTTGTTAATTTTTTCTGGATTATATTAAGTACATATATTGAATTATATTCAGTTTTACCATTGACAATTATGTTTTCTCATAAATGAAGAATAAGGCTTAAAGATTTCAAAGAATTCATAATTTAATTTGGGTGGATTAGATATTAATGATAACTTTTTCTACATAAATTTTTGAACTAAGAATTTTAGATTTAGCTTTTTTTGTATGTAGTTACTATAAAAGATTATAAGGAGATGGAAAAAATACTTCATTAATTTTGTTATCAAATTGTATCATCACTGTCATTTTAAGATCTATTGCTAAATATGTCAGAGGTTTAAGTCATTTATTTAATCCAAGCTATTGAATTATTTAAAAAATGACTGATTATTTTCCTTGTGTTTAGTAAGAGTAACTAGATTTACGTAATGATATGTTGGTAAATCCAAAAAACTCCTGGAGTGGAGAATATGGCCTAGGGTGGTGGAGAAGTGTGATTTGTTGCACTTGCCAATTTCCGTGGTGTAAATATTTTCAAGCTACCACCATGCTGTCATTCAATGTGGAGCTTGGAAAGATTTGTACACAGTTGACATGCAGAAAAGATGTCAAAATAGCTGGACTGAGTTGTCTTCTAAAAAATCATACACGTTTTATTTTCTAAAACAGATATATTCAGGAGTACTGCATAGAAACCCTTCAAATTTTGAACTCCATGGTACATTAGCAAATGATCAGTCTTACTAAGACTTTCTATATCTAACTTTATAAGGATATATCTAATCCATTATATATATTTTATGCATGTATGCTATGTGGATTATTGAACTTTTGTAGGAAAGCTTATTGCATATTTAATTGTTAAAGATTCTTATACTCTGAAAATTCAACAAAATGTTTCCAAATTGGATAAAACATGTTTATGAATCATAAAAAATTTGCAAGGAAGTACATATCACAAACAAATAATGAGTCAAATGTCTCAGCAAATCTTTTAATATTTCTCTAGTAATTCTTCTTCTGTAACTCTAAATAAAATGGAATAAAAGTATCTCTAAACTAATTAGTGTAGTGCCAACCTGTGTATGTGTGTTTGTGTGTGTCTGTTTGTGAGACTAGGAGATAAAAGGAATAAATACCAATCAACAGCCCGCTGTTTGTCCTTGCCTAGGATTCATATTTTTATTTTTCCTGTGATCTTAAACCCACTCTCCAACCTCTGATAATAGCAATGACATATCATATCTGAGGCTAAAAATAAGAGCCCTTCTGTAGTGGGGCCGGGTTCTATCTTTAGGCAAATAGTGAATGATAGTGATTACTACTGAGTGGTCAGTGGATGAGCTAAGTTGTGGTCACTTTTCATTTTGCTTGAAGTTCTAATTTACCATGTGGAGCCAATGGTAGCATAGCCTGGATCTGTACTTGCCCTCAGAGCTCCCTCATGGGAGGAAAAGGGGAACAGAAGGCACTGCTAGAGTAGCTGGCATGCGGGAGGTCCCCAGTAAATTCTTAAAAATATATTTTTTAAATTTATTTGGCTGCACTGGGTCTTAGTTGCAGCACATGGGATCTTTAGTTGTGGCATGTGAACTTTTGGTTGCAGCATGTGAACCCTTAGTTGCAGCATGTGGGACTAGCTCCCTGGCCCGAGATCAAACCTGGGCCCCTGCATTGGGAGCATGGTTTCCTAGCCACTGGACCACCAGCATATTCCCCCCAGTAAATATTGATTGAGTGGGACAGGAAAATTTTGAGATCTCAAACTGGCATCAGTGTTTCATTGAAGTTGTTCATATGATTGGAAGGCTAACAACTCTGTATTGCTTCTACTTTTAGAATTAAATATGTCTTCAAGGCTACTTTTGCATGAAGCCTTCCCTGGTTTCTCCAGAGGGACATCTTATTGTAAATTTCCATTTCCTTTCATTTTTAATCATATGCTATTTAGCAATATTATCCTTGGCACTCAAGTTATGTAAAAATTACCTGAGATAATATTGGAATAATAAAAAATCAAAGTTCAAAAATAATTAGTAGCCAACTGAAAATGTAAAATTAAAAGTGTTTGGAATTGGTTTCGTTAAACATTAGGCCACTGTTGATCTTCCCAATGTTCAACAAAACCAGTAGTGAAAATGTCTAAGAATTTTCTCTGATTCAACTCTATTCTTCTTACAGAAGAAGCTACCCAGCCCTGCTTGAATCCAAAGTGTTCTTTAATCCTGGATTGCAGTGGATTGACTTTTTCTGACTATTCTGGAGTCTCCATGCTTGTTGAGGTATTTGTGAGCTTGTGTTTGGACTGATTCTTTCCCTTCTCTTTAGGAACAGTGTTTTCACGGACTCTTTCTCAGCTATGAGGTCGTGACCCTGCTTATCTCAGTACTCGTCTCACCCATTCTCCCCAAAGGACATAGACTTTACGCCTCCCACTATAGTAGATTTCTTTTCAGGAGATTTCATGAAGTCTCTAGCTGTGTGTGTATCAGGAGGGTGTAAGCAGAGTAGAGTAGGTATTCACGTGGCACATGAGTTTTTACAGTTTTAGTTAACTGCTAATTATTTTTGAACTCTGACTTTTGATTATCCCAATATTATCTCAGAATATGTATTTGAGATGTAGCGGGTGTAGTCCATGCTGGGAAGTCAACTCCCAGGCTTCTAGAAAGAAGGAGAAAAGCCCCCTCCATGAGCAAATGCCCTGAAGTTGGCAGGATATGGGCTTTCATATCATGGATGGGTCCAGTCTGACCTGAAACCATTCCTGGCCTGAATTATTGGGAAACTACCTCCCAGACAGGGACAGGTCGAGCTTTGGAAGCTCAGAGGAAAGCACAGCGACAGGTGTGTGCGAGGCAAACAGAGAGGGTTCAGCACAGAAATTGGCACCCACTGACGTTTCCCAGCCTGAGCCACTCGACGGCACGGCCGCCCACCGTGGCTGGGGTCTGGGTGCTGAGGCGCAGGCTTCAGGGGTCTGAGCCCAGGACAGGACTGGGGCTGACTGCTGTGGAGACACTCTGAGGGGGCGCGTACGACACAGCTGAGGGAAAAGCCTGGGGCTGCCAGAGGGGTGACAGGCCGTTGCCTCCACCTCGGCATGCTTACAGATGCTAGGACACCGCCTTGGTGAGCGCCCGCGGTGGGGCTGGCCGCAGCTGCGGTCTGCAACCCCAGAGGGATTTGGGCTGGCTGCCACAAAGGCTAACGTGAGTGCCAGAGCCAGGACTAGTCACGGTCTGCAGCCTCAGAGGTGGACACATTGGCCCGCCACCGGAAAGGCTGGCTTGAATGCCGGAGGCAGAACTAGTCACGGCTCTGGTCTGCAGTCTCAGAGGCCAGCTGCCGTCCGGGCCAGTGGGGGTGCCGGAGGCAGGGATGAGTAGCGCCGCAGGCCCAACCCCAGGGGTCACAGGTGCAGGAAGCTGCGAGCAGGCCCAAGTCATGGCCCACAGCTTCCTGGAGCTTCTGCACCTTGGCGTTGCTGAGATTCCCACGACCCAGGGCCAGTTCCTCTGGGAGAGTGCATGACCTGCCTCAGGCTGCAGCAGCATTCCGAAGGCCTTTACCGCCCCAGGCCCGCCCCACACATTCCGCTTGTGCCTGCCTTATCCCTCCCTCCTCGCAGCCCAGCTGAGTAAGTGAGGTCCCATACGCCTCTGCTTCTGCCCCACCTTGTCTGGGTGGGAAACAGACACCAGAGCGTAGCCTGCAGAGACAGGGCAAAACCAACGTGAGCCGCAGAGGCTGTGTGACCAAGAGGAGGAGAACTGCCTCCTGCAGCCGCAGGAGCAGCAGATTAAATCCCCACAGTTGGCTTGAAGGTGTGGAGCTTGGGGGCAGTTGTGGACTTTGGAAGCAAGTACAAGTTGGAGTGTGGACAGGTTTGAGTCTGAGCTGACCCCACAATGCCCACAGCAGGTCTGGAGACCTTCCTAGAAATATTGGAGGTCTTTTTGATGAGGCACATTAGCTGGAACTCACTGTGTGGCAGGAAAACTGAGAACTGAGGCCACAGGAAAATAGTCTTACCACCTCTCTCTCTCTTTTTTCATTTTGTTCTGTTGTTCTTTTTTTAATTATTACTTTAATACATATTTTTTACTTAATTTTTCCTTTTTTAAAGCTTTTATTTTTAAGTAAGTTTATTTTATTTTTTCCTATTTCTACACTAGTATTCTGTTCTGTTGTACTTTTTTCACGCTTTTGGTTCTGAATTTTTCCAGACTAGTTTATTGTGTGTTTTCATTTATGAGTTTGCTTCTTGCTTTGGTTGCTCTCTTCCTTTGTGGTTCCATTTTTTAAATTTTATTTTAGTTTTTTGTCTTATTTTCTTTTTTTGAGTATGAGTGTGTGAGTCTCAGTGTATGTTCTTATCTGTTCAGTGTTACTTTTATCATTTGTCTTGGGGACTTGTCCGTTCATTTTTTGTTTGCATGTTTGTTTGTTTTCTATTTATTTCCTTTTCTCTCCTGTGCTGTGTGGCTTGTGGAGTCTTGNCAAAACATATGGAGGCAGTATGAGCAGTGTTAACGGGGAAATTTATGGAATACAAGCGTAAATCAGGAAATGAGAAAAATATCAAGTAAACAACCTAACCTTACACCTAAGGCAACTAGAAAAAGAAAGAAGAAGGAAAAAAACCAAAGGTAGTAGAAGGAAAGAAATTATGAAGATCACTGTACCGTGTTTTAATCACTCGGTCATGTGATTGACTCTTTGTGATTCAGCGTCCGACTCTTTGTGATGCCATGGACTATACCTCTCCAGACTCCTCTGTCCATGAAATTATCCAGGCAAGAATACCAAAGTGGGTTGCCATTCCCTTCTCTGGGGTATTTTCCCAAACCAGGGATTGAACCTGGGACTCCTGCACTGCAGGCAGATTCTTTACCATCTTTTTATTTACTTCTGCTCAGATGAAGATCAGAGCAGAAGTAAATTTAAAAAATGAAGGAAACAATGCTGAATATTAATAAAAAACAGAAGCTGCTGCTTTGAGAAGATAAATGAACTTGACAAACCATTAGCCAGATTCATCAAGAAAAAAAGGGTTGAGAAAATTCAAAACAAGAAAATTAGAAATGAAGAAGTTATAACAGACAACACAAAAATAGAAAGGATCAAAAGAGAGTATTATGAGCAATTATATGTCAATAAAATGAACAACCTGGAAAAAATGGGCAAATTCTTAGAAAAGTGCAACCTTCTAAGACTGAAACAGGAAGAAAAAGAAAATAGGAACAGACCAATCACAAGCACTGAAATTGAAACTGTGATAAAAAAATCTTCCAGCAAACAACAGCCTAGGACCAAATGGCTTAAAAGGCAAAAAGTAGCAAACTTCTAGAGAAGAGCTAACACCTATCCTGCTCAAACTCTTTCAGAACATTGCAGAGGGAGGAAACTTCCAAACTCATTCTGTGAGGCCACCATCACCCTGATACCAAAACCAGACAGATATCACACACAAAATAATTACAGGTGAATATCACTTATGAAAATATATGCAAAAATCCTCACAGTAATATTAGCAACAACACATGAAACCTATAGTGTGATTAAGTGGGGTTTATCCCAAGGATGCAAAGATTCTTCAATTTATGTAAATAAATCAATGTGATACACCATAGTAACAAATTGAAAGATAAAAACCATATGACATCTCAGATACAAAGAAAGCTTTCAACAATATTCAACACCCATTTATAGTAAAAGTTCTTCAGAAAACTGGCATAGAAGGAACCTACTTCAACATAATAAAGGCCATATACAACAAACACACAGCAGACATTATTTTCAATTGTGAAAAAATGAGGGCATTTCCTTTATGATCAGAAAAAAGACAAAGGTGCCCACTCTTGCCATTATTATTTTATATAGTTTTGGAAGTGCTAGCCATGGCACTCAAAGAAGGAAAAGAAATAAAAAGAATCCAGACTGGAAAACAAGTAAAACTCTTACTGATTGCATGTGACATGATGCTATACATAGAAAATGATAAAGCTGTTACCCTAAAATTACTAGAGCTAATCAATGGATTTAGTAATTTCCTAGGATATAAAATTAAAACACAGAAATCTTTTGCATTCTTATACAATAATAATCAAAAATCTGAAAGAGAAATTAAGGAATCAACCCCACTCACCATTGCAGCAAAAAGAGTAAAATACCTAGGAATAAATGTACCTAAGGAGACAAAAGACCTGTATTTAGAAAACTATAAGATACTCATGAAATAAATCAAAGATGATAAAAACATGAAGAGATACACCATGTTCTAGGATTGGAAGAATCAATATTTTGAAAATTCCTATACTAACCAAGGGAATCTACAGATTCAATGCAATCCCCATCACATTACCAAAGGCATGTTTCACAAAACTACAGAAAATGATTTTACAGTTTGTATGGAAACATAAAGACCCCAAACAGCCAGAGCAATCTTGAGAAAGAAAAACGGAGTTGGAGGAATCGGTCTTCCTGATGTTTGACTATACTCCAAAGCTACAAAGCTACGATAATCAAGACAGTATGGTACTGGCACAAAGGCAAAAATACAGATCAAAGGAACAAGATAGAAAGTCCTGAGATAAACCTACATACCTATGGACACCTTCTCTTTGACAAGGAGGCAAAAATGTACAATGGATAAATGACAGTCTAGCCAGTAAATGGTGCTGGGAAAACTGGACAGTTATATGCAAAAGAATGGAACTTGAACACTTCCACCTTTTCTTTGACAAGGAGGCAAAAATGTACAACAGATAAATGATAGTCTTGCCAGCAAATGGTGCTGGGAAAACTGGACAGTTACATGCAAAAGAATGGAACTTGAACACTTCCTAACACCATATATGAAAATAAACTCAAAATGGATTAAAGACCTAAATATAAGGCTAGAAACTATAAAACTCTTAGAGGAAAACAGAACACTCTGACATAAATTGCAGCAAGATCTTCTTTTACCCACCTCGTAGAGTAATGGAAATAAAGATAAAAGTAAACAATTGGACCTAGTTAAACTTATAAGTTTTTGCACAGCAAAGAAAACTATAAATAAGATGAAAAGACAACCCTCAGAATTGGGAAAAACTAATAGCAAATGAAACAACTGGTCCCAAGCAACCTAGTCAAAAACAAAAACAAAGAAACAAAAAAAACGGGCAGAAGACCTAGAGAGACCTCTCTCCAAGGAAGACATACAGATTGCCAACAAACACAGGAAGAGATGCTCAATATCATTTATTATTAGAGAAATGAAAATCAAAACTACATT